AACAATCCTTCATCGTTAAAACCAACGTTGGAAAGAACTTGGAAATTCATATTTTTAATGTTGACAAACGACTGGGAATATTCGATGCGCTGACGCGTGGCGATATCTTTTACAGTGATATGCGACGCTGGCGCAATAGCGATATACAGGTCACAATACTACTATAATAATTGTAATAATACTGTTATAAGTATACAGAGTGTCTCACAACTAGTATAGGTCTCTGAAATGGGGGGTGGGTAGCCGACGTGATTCTGAATAAGATTTCCCTTTGCAAAAATTGGATTTGAAGCTTCGTTTTCGAATTATTAAGGAAAAACTAGGGAAAGTTGTTCAGAATCTCGAACTTCACCACCCAATTCCAAGAGTTACACTAGTTGTGTGCCACCCTGTATAATAAATCAACTCTACTGTAACAGTAGACCAATATAACATGTATCATGTTGCAAAATAAAATACAGTAACAATACCATTATAAGTATAAAATCGGTATACAATAAATCTCAAGCCCATGTAGAAAGATCTACATCACGTCACAAAATACGATAATCTACGCTAAATTATTTATTGTCGCATGACAACATACCCCAACGACTGGTTATCGACCAGTACAGAGCGTGCGTAAAGAGCATAGCGCAAGGATACATTTATAAATTCTCATATTTTTGACGACACGCATGTTTTACGAGGGGAAAAAAGTAAACCGTAGGGAAAAGGGAAACGAATCGGACGTTGTAGCTAACGTTCTCACGGGGACGCCGGTATTCGGGAACAGTCGATTGTTTCGCGACGCGAGATTTTCCTGATTTCGACGGACTCGTTAACGGGGAAAAATATATTCGTCGAGCGTGGGAAACGCGATGCTGGTAAACGAGTTTCGACGCGCTAATGAATAGTAATTCGGTGTCGCTGCTCGGTTTGCGTCGCTATTATAACCCGAATAAAGTGTTTGCGTACCGTTTTTCTCCACCCGTGAATCTCGATTAATTTCCACGACTGCTGCAATTGAATTTCATTTTCAATTCGCGGCCCATATGACTCTATCGACATTTTCAAATATATTTATAATTTTATATTAAAATACCGGGAAACTTTCATAGCTATTCAGGACAGAATGTAAACCTCCATAGCTGTTCCTTATATTTTCATGAATTGATCAGAATGATCTGTGTAGACTGATCTATACGTAAAATGATCTATGAATGATTTATTAAAAAATCCAATAAGCCTAGTCAACACACAGCACTCGATATCGTAGAAGTAACGGTTATGAAATAGATAAACGTTGTAAAAAAGAAAGAAGCGGTTAATTTAGCGTGCGAGAATGAATAATAGCAGGTGCTAATGATCCTTTTTATCATGGAAAGCGTCGGGTAAGTTGGAAAAGGGATGCAGAAACACGTGTCGGAGGAGGTAAAACGGACAGAACTATTTTTACTCAGCGAGATAGGCGGTATCAGAGGACCTTTCGAAAATATTCTCCCTCTGCCAGCTAGCAGATATGGTTTTTCCTCGTTGAACGTGCCGCTGGCTCGAAAATTGGCTCGCTTATCTATCGTATCGATTCAAATGTCGAGCTTGGAAAAACGGCGTAAACGAGTTATCGTTTTGACCCACGGTACATCGTTTGGGCTACCGAAATCCCCTGCTTTACTCTGCAAAACAGCAAAATAATTTAAAAATACACTCATGAACAAAACTATAAATCACTCCATATCTTTCGATAAACAATATAGTATTGAACTGTTACTCCAGTATTTGTCACGGTATGGTTGCAGAAAATCGATCTACCATGTCAAGTCGTTTGAGATGTTTCCAAACGTCTCTGTTGTTTGTTTTCGAATTTGAATTCTTTGTAGATCTTTGTAGATTACGCTCGAGGGTAGGAATTTGAAATTCAAAAATTGAAACGAACCTACCCAGGAAACCGGAACGCGAGAATATTAAAAGAACCAGCGTGAAAATGGAAAACGAACAGACGTGTTTTTTTCACGGTCAAAGGAAACAGGAGCTGATAAATGAAAATCGAGGAGCAGAGAATTCATTGAAAACGAGGGAACAAAGAAACGCGACGCATAATTTTTCCCTTTTCTCGGCACCGTGGCTCGTAGCAGGGTCGCGAACCCGAATTTCTTATTTCTCCTTCAGAAATGGAACACTGAATTATCGAGGTGCGATGACTTTCGAATTCCTTTGAAAGCTATTTTCAAAGTCACGCGTCCAATCTGGCTACGAATAATAAAGCGAGAATCCATAAAAGCTTATGACGGTGCAACACGATGTGTAATAAATACACTTCCGCGTCGGAACGAAATTCATCGAATTAATACCATTAACTTTTACCTTTCGTTTACGTTGGTAATCGATTTCACCTCGAAAGAGGGAATTCGAAATTTCTTGCAAGGACGTTAGCATCACTGAATATTAACTCCCAGGAGAAATTAAGAGCTCCTTACAATATTCATATCCATTAGTGAACAGCGTCCGAATCCTCTCGCATAACATATTCATTGCACCGTCGATTCTGTAATTGATTTGCTGCCAGCGATCCTCCGGTTTAGAAACGTTTAATCGAGTTAGCCGTGCGTGAATTTACGTGAAATGAACTGGACGTTCCTGAAATATCGCATCAAACTAGCCCGTTTCTATTTCGTTAATATTATTTAAATAAATTTAATTACAGGCAAAATTCGCCTTTAGACACATTTCAACTTGCAAGAAAGTTCCATTTGAGTTCTACGTGTCCACAGAAACGTAGACTAGTTCCACTTGTCCGACCAAACGTAGTCGCGTTCTACTTGTCTGAATGCAGCGGGTACTGTTTCACTTGTTCCGCCAGATGCGGTCTGTTTCTACTTGTTTGAGCAGACAATAGTGACTGGACTGAACCTATTTATATTCTTTCCACCGACCTCGATTCTGGTACATACGTATGTACAGCCATTTTTACGGGGTTCATATTTTATTCCGTGTTCGTACTTTCTGCAGACATAAATGGACTGATCATATCCTTGACAATGTTTATTGAAACGTACCACAGCGAAAGTCGTACTGACTTTACCGGTGTATTTGCGATTACGGTTCTTCGAGGAACGTTTTTCATCGTCAACGAAACACCTGCGACTAACACATTCTCTTTAAAGCAAACACGGTCACGGTTTAATCATGGATCGCTGTGATTTGCGGCTAACACCGTCTATTTGTCATAGAACCGAACATTCGTGACGAACCGATCGCTTGGCCACCCGATTTCACGCCCTACCGCTAAACCAAATTCCCAAAATCCAATATTTCCGTTCAACTCGTTCCACCGGGATGATAACGGACGGATAATCAAGCCCGTCTCGTTTCCGCGATAATCGATCTTGATGCGTCTGTTTATTTAACCATACACTCGCACCGTATAATTATCGGCAATTAGAAAGATTCATTTATAACTTACGTTCATTTAAGAAACTTCAAAAGGAAGTTGAATGCAATAGCGCAATTTTAAATCAGCGTTTTCTTCACTCTTTGAACAATCATCCTGCAACTGGGAGATATCAGCAAGTTTGAGCATGAAATTAGGGGTTACGTGGAAATGACATTATAAAGCGTCGACGTAACTAAACCACGGTTAAAACTAATCCGAAAAGCTTGAAATATAGTCAGTGCATACAACTACCGACTCGGTTCTAGCTAATTGAATTTAAACTCTGCTGAATCATTTCCTTATTTTCAACTCATCGATCAAAGTGAAATTTAAACTTCATGATTACACATGAGCTTGTTTACATTGTGATCTGTATCTAAAGATTAAATAATTATATTGCTGTAAATATCAGCTTATAAACATTTTATTACATTTCGATAAATCTATTTAATTTGTATAACGATGAAAGCAAATTTAAATGTAAATTAATCAATTACAATTAGTTAAAATATAAATATTTTTGCTTTCTTAATTTTTAAGTACGCGCTTTGGAAATAGTGTGATCAGCTCCATCTGATACTATCAGGTCAAACTGTTCTTGGTACAAATTGTTCCAAACACATTTTCAGACCCATAGTACACATTATAAACATCGTATAACTAATCTAGCAATGCGTTTAAATAAGTAATCAAGTTTACTTGCGTAGATTTTATAAAAAATTCGGTAATGTATGTTGGAAAAAGAATGTTCATTAATAAAGAATATTTTCGACGTTATTTAGAATTATATTGTAATTAAAATTTGTTTCCTGGACCTGAAATGATATTTTTTATTTACGTGTATAAATTAACTTGAATTGGTTTACGTAGTGCATTAAGCAAATATCAAATTACGTCAGAATATCGAATTACATCTAAAAACGTTACTATAAAATTTCTGGAGATATAACCTTGAGGTGAAGTTCATCTTAGCTATTTTCGTTTCATATATTTAAGAAATTAATTACTCTTGCTTTCTGATGTAATTTAATGCAAATTAAAATTAATTAAACAAATAAAATCAATGTAAATTGAATTGTTTTTTTAAAATTGAGCTAGTGGCGCCATCTCTCCGGCGAACGGGGTGAACTACACGTATCTGAAACAGGAGCTTCATTAGTTCTTACTTTTCACCGCTAGGTGTCCACGGAGTTTGAGATTCTCGCTTCAGAGTTGAGTACTGAGACCCCTTAGCGGTGAAGATAGGAACTAATCAAGCTGCTGTCTCAAACCCGTGTAGTTCACCCTGTTCGCCGGAGAGATGGCGCCACTTGTTCAATTTTCGAAAAAACCCAAATTAAAATTGATTTTATTGATTTAATTTATAAATTTTGCAAATAAGTCCTTTTTAAGACAAGGACTGTCTTTTGGCGATTCGAAAAATACTTTTTATAACCTTCGTATCAGTCCCTGCCTTACCGACGATACTGTAAAAATATTGCGTGTAATAAACATATGTGTATATACATATGTATGTATATTTAAAATTCATGTAGTTTCACTGAATACAATTACCGTATCTACGTGGAAGAAAAAACAATTTTTTCAATTCTCTTTAGTCATTTTATTGTTCTTCATAAACTGTTAAACAGACATCTTCATATAATTTTAAATTATACTAACAATGATGCACAATTGATAAACCTTTACCATACGTTAATTATTCATAAAAATAAATGTAGCAGATCAAATGAAATTAAATCTAACTGTTGCCGTAACTTTTCTTCTTGTTGCATATTATCGAACCACCTTGACACATGAACATATTGAGCTTTTTCTTGGTGTGTTAATTCCCGCTGTAACAAAATTAGGCCAAAGAGATTAGATTGATCCGTGCAATCTACTAAGGATTCCTGTGTTCCACTTATGCTATGTTTGTTCTTATTACCATTATTGAATATAAGGCATAATAGAGTGTAACATCGGCAATTGTTTTCCTTGTACCAGTTAAATATGTATTGTTCCTTAGTGCAACATTCAATTCCTACAGGAATAAACAATTTATCTATCTACTGTAATACAATTGTATGATTATATGTTACCTGCAAAATTCTTCGTATGTTTGCAGGAGTGTCAGCATAATTGACACAGACAACTGCATATTCCAACCACTGACGTGTTAAAGCTTTCGTTTCATTGTCAGTGCCAAGCATATCAGAACATTTTGAATTCTCAATTAAAGATTGAACTATAGTACTAAATCCTTCTATTTTCTGATTCGATTCTGTGGTAACGATTGCCTAAACGATAGTTAAATAGAAATAAAATATGTCAGTATTGCTTCTCAACATAATTCATTTTTAGGAAAAATTTGTTATTTACGTTTTCTTGCATCTCCAGTTGTAAAGGTGAAACATCTAGATAATTTGAAATCCTTTCTAAACATTCCACGTTACACAAAACCATTGTTTCGAGCTTTGTACTTGTACGGTTTTCTTATTTTTCTGTTTACTGTTTTGTATATTGAACAATTTTTAGGTTATGATCGAAAAGAGCGCGATGCCTGACGCGATACGAAACACCATTTAAAATTTTGCAACTTTTTTGTTATTCATTATTTCGACAAAAATATTTTATTGGGAAATGGATATAAACAACAAACTCATAGAAAAACTTTTAACGTGAATTATGGATTTATTTCAAATATACATTTTATTATAATAACACTTGTATAAAATTTCTGATATAATGGTTATAGAATGGCATGTTTATGAAGGTCCAATATATTTAAAATTATAAAATCAATCGTCTTAATTTAAGTACTTTGACCTAAGTTTTTTATTCGAAAATTAAAATGTAAAAACGTGTCAAATTAGTTAAAAATACGTAATAAAATAATAGGAAATCTAACAGTATTTTTGTTTTAATCACTCTGTGATAGGAATGAATAATCAGCTGATTAACTTTCAGGTTGTTCCCATAGTTTGGCATTCAGTTCACAAACTTGTTTTACATTAATATTATCTGTTTCTTGTTGCATCGTGATTTCGTAATATTATAATCTCCTTTTGTAATTCTTTTTAATTTTTGTAGAAATTTGAACATCATCTTAAGAAAATATTAAACAATATATACTTCAATAGCAAAAATCAGGTACACTGAATGCAACAAGAAAGAAATATTACAATATTAATTGTAACTTGTTTCATGATTCAGTCACGTTTACGTATCAATTAAATTGATTAATTTATTCAAAGAATAGTGTACATGTATACGCATGTAGTAAAAAATTGAATTATTACAGGAATATATAATAGACGTTTCTGTACAAGTTTAATACATTCAAAGGCATTTTTTAAAATAGTTCTTTTATAACATTTATATACTTCTGTAAACAGTCAATTAATTTATACGTGCATACATATAAAATACATGTCTATATTCTAAATGAATGTTTGTAAATACTTATAAAGTAATGTGTGTGTAATAAAAGGTATATTTAAAACTTTCGAGAGCAATTGCATTAGATATAAAATAATCATGAAATAAATTATTTCATTTGTCTAGCATTGAAAAATGATTTTGATTTTTCTTGTTAAACGATATGTGACATCACATAATTTCAGGCATAATTTGTTAAAATTGATAATTTATATGCAAGTAAATGCAGGTACTTTTCATACAATGTTCATTTAATATTTACCTAATTAAAAGAGTCTTTTCTCATATGAGAAAAGGCTATGAACATTTCCTTCTTGCTGAGCTGAATGAGTTCTTCTTTCAAATTTTAGCTCTCCACTATACATCATAGATTTCAAAGCAGAAATAGACTTTGCCCCAATATCTTGACATCCATGTTTAATACCACATTGTAAATATGGTAAAAATTTTAAAACAGTTCCTTTATCAACTATTGAACCACTCACACCTTGGGCTACCTTCAATTTATCCATCTCATTATGGAAATACCTATCCATTGCTGAACCTTGAGCATCTTTCCTGTTCATAGCTTCCAAGGAACCCATGCCTCTATATTTTTTAAGACGTACACCATCACTAAAAAAATATTCACCTGGTGCTTCTGAAGTACCAGCCAATAATGAACCCATCATAACTGTACTAGCACCCAAACTTAGACCCTTAATTATGTGTCCAATAGATTGAATGCCACCATCAGCTATAACGGGTACACCAAATCTTCGTGCATACTCTGCAACCTTATACACAGCAGTTGCTTGTGGTCTTCCTACAGCCATAACTTCCTGAGTGATACAAATAGATCCACAACCCATTCCAACACGCAAAGCATCAGCACCAGCTTCTATAAGATTCTTAGCTTGCATAGTTGTTACAACATTTCCAGCAATTACTTGTAATTCTGGATATTCTGATTTAATGTATTTAATCATTTCAATCTGGTACTTAGAATTTCCTTGAGAAGAATCTAATACAATAACATCAACACCAGATGCACCAAGAAGTTGCAGCCTATGTTTGTCTGTATGACGTGTGCCAATTGCAGCCCCAACTAATAATTGTTTATTTTCATCTTTGCTGGCATTTGGATAACTACGATTCTTTTTTAAATCAGTTCTGGCCATTAGAGATACTAACTCTCCTTTCTCATTAACAATTGGAAGCTTTCCTTTCTTAGACTTCTCAAGAATCACATTTGCTTCTTGTAATGTTACACCAGCAGTTGCAGTAATTAAATTTTCTAATTTTGTCATTATTGTTTCTAACTTAGTATATTGTTGATTTGGTGAACTTTCCAAAAAGTCAATATCTCTAGATGTAACAATACCCAGCAATTTACCTCCTACTTTCCCTGTATCTGTGATAGGAACACCACTAAAACCATGTTCAGCTTTTACATTCATTACATCACTAACTGTGTGATTTGGTGACAAAACAACAGGATCTCTGATAAATCCATGTTTATATTTTTTCACCTGAAACCACAGAAGGTCTCATGAATTTAATGATTCCTAATTTCAATAAAAAATGCAAATACTTGTCTTTATCTTATCTTTAGTAATAATTATACATATTCTATCTTTAGAAATTGTAATACAAGGACGTTTGAAAATGTTAAATAATATTAATACACGTAATTTAATAAGATGGGAAACATTAATCATCTTATAAGAGTTTTTCTTTATTAGAATATGAGGTGTTTACTGTCACTAACTTAATAGTTAACGCTCTATGTATTACTATTGCATGACAACAATATATTATCCACACGGAAAAAGATAGCGTGCGCGAGGTGAGATGAAACACGCATCTATATAGCATACATATCAAACAGGTAAACGTTTTATGAATCTAACACGATCAAAACTAAAACTCAACTTTTATAAATAGACATTTAGATTATGAATTTATACCTTATGTACTTCGTTAGCTTGGTATTCCGGCGTACAATTATGATGTATTATCCCGATTCCTCCGCATAGGGCCATAGCAATAGCCATGTCAGATTCTGTAACTGTGTCCATTGGGGATGATACGAGCGGTGCCTTCAGCATGATCTTCTTCGTTAACGGCGATAATAAATCAACCTCATCGGCGGTAAAATCAATGTAACCCGGTAAAATAATAAAATCATTGTAAGTTAGACCATCACCGTTGGAAAATAACTGTGATGCTGAGAGCCCATCATCCGGTATCGGTACATCTGCCGGTTTTGTGTTACCAAACACGTAGTCTGCCATCGTTTTGTCCTATCGATAATTATTATATCCTGTTTATGGAAAATTGTTAAATTTTTAAATAAAGCGGCTAATTCTGAAGAAATTGCGGTCCACGTTTTCTTGGCACTGACGTTGAGATCTTGGGTCCCTTCCGCGTACTGGTCTAGAGATCACCAGACGAAATGACCGAAATGAACGTGCGCACAGTGTATTTGTAGTCTACGGGTGAATTGTATTTCACTTTTCACTCTACTGATGGCAGTACTGTTACCGACGAACTTTCACGAAAATTACCGAGAACTGCCGTGTTTAATTCGATTTGAAAAGTTGCGCCTTTTTTTCGAAATAAACGTATTAAAATTAAATTAATTTATAGCCACAGCCGGTATCACCATCATAACTTAAAAGTTGGGAAATTTAGAAGTTTTCATATTCTTCAACGTTTACTAGTCTTCCAAGGTAAGCTTATAATTATATTAACATCAACTGAATTAGTAAATTTCAAATTAAATTTTAATTATAAATACACGTGTATATTCTAACTATAAACAGAAATACGAAAAACAATCAGGTGCACAATCGATTACAAAAATACTTGTTCAGTACAAAAATAAATATTGGTTAATAAACAAAGTGCAGACCATACTAAAATATTTTTAAGCCTCTACATAATGCGCTCATCATCACTAATTTTACGAAGAATTGGTGCATTTCTTACATGAATGCTAAAAACCGTATAAAATCATGTAAAATTTAAAATCAGTATAATGCATTTAAAACGTATTATGTCATTTATAATCTTACTAGATAGAGAAAAACTTTCTTTACGCCATTGCAAACATCACCAAATGCTTCTTTAAACGAGGATAAAATATATTCCACTATCAGTTCCAAGTAACTCACATTTTCATAATCATCATATTCTTGATGGTAAAAATAATCATACAACATTGGCAGAAATATTATCAGGATATACATCATGCCACCAAAAAATACTAAATATCAATATATTACTTGTCAATTTTAATTAAATTAACAATTTTAAATAATTGTGTTAAATAAATGCTTACTGATAGATTTGAGTTCCAAAAATTGTTTATCATTCACTTGAGTTTGTTTGTACTTCACTTTATTAACCATATGTTCATCATTATTCAAATTTGAAACCATTTGTTTCATATTAACATTTTGCACTGCACCCACAGGATTTGACAATGATTTCATGTTGTCATTTACATACAATTGTTTTGTCTGCATAATATCCGACTGAAGATTCGTATCTCTGCATAATTACAAGTATTATTAAAATTTTTCCGGATGTAAATAGTTAATCATTTTTTTATAAAACTTACAATGCTTTATTAATCATACTAGAAAGAGCTGAACACTGCTGTAACGTTTGCAGTTCAGGATTTAATTTTAATTGACTCCGTAATTTCTGATTGTATACCTCGTTTGATTTTCCTTTCGGCGCTTTTTCTAATTTATCCATTGTAAGTTGGTACGAAAATTCCTGTCCTACATCATTTATTTTATGTTTTAATTTGTTGTAAAATTCCCAGTAACTTTTATTCAATAACTCTTGAGTCTTTGGAGGAATACTTTTTGGTCTTTCAATGGCATCATCTGTATTTGATCTGGGAGAAACTTCACATTTGCAACATTCCTTTTGCAAACATGTTTTTGAACAACTTGCAGTTTCTTCGTGACATGAATCGATATTTTCATCATGTTGTACAGAAAGTTCATTCGAATTCAAAGTATTTACAACTTGTTGATCAAATTTTTTTGTCTTATCATTACTAGACTTGTGAGTATTTGTTTCATTACGTTTGTGTCTACTATGTTGACAATCAGGCCACATCATTGTATAATCAGAATCCACCAAAGCTGAATGAGAATTTTTTTGAAAATAAGATTTTGCCTTTCTAGAAAATTTACCTGATACTTTCTTCTGTTTGAATGTAATATGTGGTTCAGAATTGTGATATATCTTCCTTTTATATTCATCTTTCACACAAAGCAAATTTTGTTCAGATTTATTTCTTGGTTTTACTTCAGACATAATCTTCTTGTATTCATTACGATTTTTATCAATAACATTAGATCTTGGTACTAATTGAGGATGTTTAGCTGCTTTTGACATAATATCCACTTGATCTTGATTTTGAAATGAAATTTTGACATCACCATGTATTGTATCTGTATTCATCTTAACAGTTTTTGTTGCTAGTTTATCATTATCAGGAACGTCTTTCTGTTGGATACTTTTTCGTGAAATAAATTCAGAATCTGTTGTTTCTTCTCCACTCGTATTGCATTCTCTCTTCATCCTTAAAGCATTAGTATATTTATTTCTTTTATGTATATTAGGAATATAATATTCAGAGTCACTGGATTCTTGATGTTTGTGTTGAATATTTATACTCTGTAATTTTTCAGGTATATTTGGATTTTCCAAACAATCCGGTTTATTGCTTTTATTTTTATCAAGTTTAGTATCTTGAGTTTTTAATATAGTGTCTTGAATAGTGTCTTCTTCTGTACCTAAACAATGTTAAGGTCAGATAAGCAGTAACATATTTTAAATAATATTTTCACAATTACTACTGATAAAAGATTTTCCATACGTTGTACTTGGTCCACAGGTTTTTGTATACATTCATTTGATAATTTTTCATTGATAAAATGAACAGGTACTTCTGATTCATTCTTCATTGAAAGTATATTATTATTTTGACCCTTATGTTCTGAACTGTTTAAACACTGTGGTATTACGCTGCTTGTTCCCGCGGTAGCTACTTGCATTGGTATGTTTTGATAAGTAAGAACTGGAACTTGTACATTATAACATTGTTTTACACATTCTTGAGGTATAGTGATTGTATCAAGATGTATTGGATTTAAGGGATGCGATTGAAGATTCTTGTCTAACACGAAAAATAACTGTCCGTTATTTTCCTAAATACATTAAAAAAGTAAGAGGACTTACTCTGTTACTATTCGAATTATTAATAGTAGATTCATTATAAATAAGAGAATATATACTTGTATTGGTAAGGAAGTTATGTCCACCTGAGTGTTGGCATCATTTACTGTTGATTTTAATGTTAATTCAGGAGAACACTTTACACATTTATCCTTATCTGTAGTCTCACATTTGTTAATATTTTTTGAAATATTATCTTCATTTCTTGACTCTATGTTATTTATATTTAACTTTACATTTTCTTTATTATCCTGTATATTTATATTTTGTTTAGTACATTCAGAGTCACAAAGTATTGATGATGGTTCAGACTTTTCATGAGGCTTTTCTGCCTCTTCCTTCTTCGTTTGCCCCCTATTAAAATAATGTACTTTCAATATACAATATAAATCTTTAAAAAATAACACATACGTATCAGTATCTCTTTCAGCTATAGATTTTTCAATTTCTTTATTTTGTAAGCAGTTTGTAGAAGTAGAAGTATCTTGATTCCTTTTAACGTTCGTTACTCTATTAAAAGATATATATCTTCTTAAATTGGTCATTTCTATGTACATATAGCAGAATAATAAATTACTTCTTAAATCGGGGATCGACGTAACCAGGAATTCTTTTCAAAGTGTGCATACTTGTAGTAATTCTTTGATGACAAAAAGAAGAGTATGCACTGTCCTTGGTTCTTACAGACTTAGGAGATCTAAAATTTCAAATACATAGATTTAATTTGAATGTAACTTTACCAAGATTAAGTTCAATACTTACTGGTTTAGTGGTGTTTGAACAAATGTACGACTTTTCCTAGGAGTTCCAGTTAAAGTAATTATGCATGGAGATTCAATGGTATCATCAATATCATTTACTAATTTACGTTGAGGTATTTTAGGCCAAGAAGGGTCAGCAGGGATTCTGATTGTTTAAAATAACAATTTCATAGTTTTTTTTTCACATAAAGAAAGCATTTAACTTAGGCACTTACCGTAATGATCCTGCATTATATTTTTGTGTAAACGGTAATAAATTATTACTGTTCACTGAAATAATCAGCATTAATTAAATATTACGTCATTAGCGAAAATGTGGTTGTTGCGAATTACTTATACCTTTTATATCCAACTGAACTGCATTTGCATTGTCTTGGTATGCCATGTTGAAATCATACATTTCAAAACTTTTTTACGTTTTTCAAAACATTTGTAAAAGTAGTTTTTGAACTGATAATTGTATAAACTAAGACTAGAAGAAATACAAATAAAAACTGTGAAGATTCAACGTTAATTTCATGTTTTACTGACCAATAATTCTATACTTCAGGTAGAATTATTCTTATTTTTCTGAAGTCAAATGTTATGTCTATCTAATAGTATGCATACACAAATGTATATATATATATACAAAAAACAGTAATATTGGAATACGTAAATTCTTTTATTCTTAATTAGATAAGTTTTCTGTACAATGTACAAAAGAGTTTAAGGTGTATGATAATCAGTCATTTTGTTTTATTAATAACATATGTATTTATAATAATACGTATATGTATATCATTCTAATCTTAATATTAAAATATTGTATATACAATAAATATACAAGTCAATAGATGCAGGAACAGTGAACTATGAGCTACATCATTATTTTATAGCTTGATTTATATTACACTAAAGTAAAGTATAATTACGCACCATAATAATTATATCACAATATCAAGCTAACATTATTTTCATATAGTTTTTTTTTTAAATATCTTACTTACAAAATATTATAATAATTTATTAGATGAGAACTTGCAACTTTTTATTATGTGTATATGTATGTATATGCATGCTGTGTATGTACAGTAACACACATTTATGTACGAATTCTTTTAAATATTCCTTTGCTATCGAAACATAATTAAAAAAAACATTGTGCGTATCGTCTATTAAAATGTAAAAATTAACATTACTTAAAAATCATATAATTAATAAAATGAAGTATACTTATGTATATGTGTATTTTCACGGATAATGATATTGATTAAAGATACTCTATCATATATACTTTAACAAAGGAATGTAATAGTACAATTGTTTTGACTAGATTTGAAGAAGACAATACAATTTGATTTGCAAAATGATCATACAATTAACATTCTCACCAAATACAAAAGTTGTATGCCATAAAATGCATCAATTAATGTTCAATTCTTTTCTGGCCACCACATCCGTTAATGTTATTGAATTTGAAATTGGTCCGAAATCTAAATATAATCCCATTATTACTGTCTTATGTCGTTAAAATCACATAGATATCTCACTGATAGTATCTTAGAATTTAGGGCATACTTTGAATACCACGGATAAGTACACAGTATTTTTATGTAATAATATACACTAATTTGTGATGAAAATATATAACAAAGTATAAATTAAGCTCTTTCGCAATTCCTAGATCTTTTCTACGTAATTTTCAAATAATAATAATCATAATATATATAATAATCGTATTACAAGAATATCAAAATACTTCACATAAAGCAAGAATGACAATTAATTCAACCTAATCAATTGTTAACTTCGCGGCATTATTCGTTATAAAATTTTACCGATAAAATAAGTACCCTCCCATTGCTCAGACTTTGTTTTAAATGGATACAATTTGTTTAGAATAATAAAGAAATTGAAGAATATACACAGCACTGACAGTTTCATAGTTCTGTTAATTGCACATATAAATAATCCGTTTCTACTTAAAATAAATGTATGATTATGTAAAAACTCAACGTTATTAACAAGTACCTAATGTCTTTAACAAATTTATCACAATTTACATAACATGATACATAGGACATTACTACCGATTTTCAATTTATATACTATAATTTTTAAAATTATAACGAATATAAAAGCTAGATATAATTCTTAATACTTTAACTTTATATTTATCGCGAGAATTGCAAAATTTTCTTCCGAAGAAAAAAACAAGTATATTTATAACTCTAATAACTTCATTTATACGTATTTTTAATCTTTGATAAAATTGCTATTACAAGCATTTTAAAATTATTCTTATATATCAAAGAAACGAAAGCCATTGAGTCTACTTATTGCATTTTCAGACAAATAATATAATAAAGAAACTATTGCAGGTATTAAAGAATTTTGTTTTCAACTAATCGATAATAATATATCGATCGAATAATATGTAATTATTGTCTGGCAGTACTATAATATTCTGTGCACAGATAAAACATAATTTTTATGGCAAATAAAATGTGATCACTAGAACGTGTAACATCGCTTAAATAATGCTTCGTGAAAATGCTTGATAATTAAATATATACAAATTGCTCGCTATGAAATATATACAGCATTCTCTATTTAAAAGAAACAGCGATATCAAGATGACATATACACAGTACATCAATGTTTTATGCATATTGACGAAGCATTTGTTGTTAAGTGTAGAAATATACGTACATAAAACACATTTATTACACAATTTTTTCATTATTGTCGGGCTAAGCTTCATGTTCACCGCTATTTATTCCTATGAGCGATTCTGTTTGCTCTGCTTCCAGATCTGGTATTCTAAAATAGAAGATATCATTGTAATAATATGATTTCAATTGAAATCTGTATATCCTGTTTTGTATCGAATGTGTAATACCTTATTGACCTATTTTTTTTACAAATCCAAATGTAGATCTTTTTAATTAAATCCATGACTGGATCCCAATTATCATAGTAGGATAAGAGAGACACTGTGAAAAATGCTAAAAGCATTGGAATAGTTCCTAAGTAGAAAATACAAGGGTACTCAACATTTTTCAACAAGACATCAGCTATCATTGACATTGGCATAATTAAACTAACCGCCAACGTTGCTATGAGGGACGACGTTAAGAAACAACCCCTATAAGTTAGCAATAGTAGAATAAGTGTAATGGTCAGATAATACATAAACTATTACATTTTGGTATATACATATTACTTTCAAACATACCACAGCCATAGCACTTCACTTAAAACTGTACCAACTAGACCATTAATAACGATAAACGTCCACTGGTGACTATCTGGCCACTCAAATTCTTCCCAGTGACCATAATGAAGGATAAAAAACAACGGCCATAAAAGCGTTAAGTTGAATAGTCCAACAAATCCAAAGAGCATTGGAATATCCATTTTATCTTCATGGTCTACCTTTCTTTTTAGAAATACGATATAAGCTGCATAGAAAAATGCACTAACTAATGCCAATATTATACCTGTAGGTACCCTACTCGTTTCTATAGTTAAATCTGAAAGACCTACTAATACCTGAAAGTTAAACAAAATGTTTATTTTTTATATGAACAATTAAGTGTTTTGACATAATAAATTTTGTTATAAAATTGTACATACTAGTCCAAGAATACTAACAGAGACGGCGACTAACTTAGATAATGTAAATTTATCCCCTCCATTACTGGGGAAAAAGGCAGCAAGGAACAAAGTAAATAAGCTAGAAGTTGATGACAATACTGTCACAACTCCTGCCTCAGTTTTAACTAACGATATTTGATAAGTGTAATTTGCCATGAACCACTGCAATATAGACCAATTATATTCAATTTGCGGTACATACAATTGTAAATAATTGAACTGTTACTTACAAGTAAACAAAACATAAGTGCAATTTTTGCAACTTTTTGAACAGAGAATTTATTGGCTTGCCGTCTTGCGTGCTCACCGGCTCTTAAACTTGCTTGGTAACTAAGTCTTGCCAGTAATGCTTCTGTAGCATCGGTTTCTGACATATGGCGAACTTCTGCTAATTTACTAAATCGGACAGAGCGTATCGACGAATCGTCGCTTTCTGTGCCCGACGAACGATCGCAGTGATCCGGCGTTTTTATGGGAACAAAAGTTGGATCACTCTACAATGATGCAAATTTTTGATACCATTAATGCAAAATCAGTTTTGTATAAATGACAATACAATAATATTTATTTACCAAACTTGTATTGCCTTCTGAATAGAAATTATCATCTTCCACATTAGGATCTATAAACTGAAATTTGACAATAATAAAATGAACAAAACAATCAATTTTGTGACAAGTACTTGTGCTCAAACCTACCATATATGTTGCTGGTGTATTACATTGGTCCCGCCAAGGGGGCCAAAAACATAAACCGAGTAAATAAAGTGTAAACATTGATGTTTTTACATATGTAGTAAAGAAAGGTTTTTCAAAGGCTGCTTCTCTATAAATGTACTGAAATGTAGAAAAACATCATTAGACATTAATTAATAATTTGCTCGAAATTGATATATAACAATTCTTACTTTAGTAAGTTCTGAACTGGATACCCAAATTATATCAACCAACAATAAAACTAAAAGCCCCAACACAAGTCTCTGAGATTTGTTCATCATTGCTGCAAGTTTATGAGGATCCTCCGCCATCCCTTGTTGTCTACGTTGTCGCAATTCTACAGAGCAGCTCATGATATACCCAATGTATTTTTTCTTTTAATTAAGGTATCATGATGTTATCACTGCAAAATTGTAACACGATCAATGAGGATTTGAAAGATTCATTAAAAAAATTTGTAGTAGTTTAATAATAGATATTTATATCAAATATATAAAATGACCAATATATTTTGATATTATTATAGAAAAAGTAATTTAAGTTTCCATAACAAGATAGATGCAGAAAATATAGTTCCCACAATAATAATTACATAAATCAACTAAATGTATGCTACAAGGGTACAGAAAGGATAAAGATAGGAAGCGCAAGGAATAAAATCAGGGACAAAAAAACAATGTTCAAGGTTTCACTAATTTAATTGTCTCTTTGTGACTACAAATTCATGTGCAAGTGTTTAGCATATTGCACTATAAGAATTCTGAGGAATGTACACAGTTAAAACAGTGATTGATAACAGGTGGATAAGCGGCAAATGTATAAAACTGTAGACGTATGTAAGGTAACCTATAAATATTGAAATGATCACAACAGCATTTCATTGTATTTGTGATAGAAGTTCAAAGAAGGAATGACTCACAATCAGAGATAATCATTAACTTTGCGGTACTAGTAATTAGTTTACGTACTGGCAATTCCCCTACATTTTGGAATTATGGTACCACGAGCATCGTGTTCTCCCTAATCACACGAGTTACACTATTCACACGTTAATATATAATCTATTTGCTTAACGATATTGAATAACTTTTCTTTTGTCTAATGCAAGTATAATTTAAATAATAAATCGTTTTAACGTTGCTGCCTTGTTATCGCGTCGAGAAAACTACTCGTAACCATGTTGATGCGCTGATGACGTTCTGTAGTTATTGTAATCACCCTGATGGCGCTACATACATTCGGGTTAACGTGTATTTTCGTTGACTACAAATGACTATAAGGGAAGTATATTTTAGTCGAATTTGGTAGATTCTTCGTAATTTATAAATATTTATCTACTCGTGTCCTCGAGCAAAAGTTTATCTTTAATAATGATTAACGAAGACATTACGATAAAGTCTGTTACCTACATGACACACGTTCTTCTTTTTATGGTACAATAAAAATGATTTAACTTGTAGTGCCAAATGTTAAAGTATAGTTATTTACGATTTTCTACATATTCACGAAGATCATACAAAGCGTATGAAGGACAAATATGTAATTGATTAAAAGTTGGAAGAATCTCTTCCGAAATAATAATTGCATTTTGAAGTAAAATAAAAATAAAGATCTTCGATCATCACAACATATTATTATAGCTATCAGGAATTGATTAAATGTAAAGGGGTCTTAAAACAGAGGTTGTCATGACGAATAATAGCAACAACATACCAGGTGGACTATAGAAAATTGTTGCACGTTGAAGAATAGCTCGAAACCTACTTGTGCGGCGTTATTTCAGTGCTTGAATAATGGCTAACAATATACTAAGTAATGGGCGCATTCAACAACAAGGAACAATCGCACAACGTCTGAGAAGCGATAAAGGAAAGAAAGGTCTTCTTTTTTCAATTCATATTTTTTGAATGGTCTCGGTGAACGCAATATTGTATGAGAGGATATTTGACGCATTAAAAATGATATTTAGGAATTTAAAATTTGAAAATCCAGAAGTAACGAAGTTTGAAAATTTAACTAACTATTAAAATACACATTATAAACTTGTTATATTCAACTTTGTATTTACCGACCGAAGGTTACAGACTGTATACCGACTTTAACCATTAAAATTCAAATCTCATTCAGTTTTATTATGCAAATTGTAATGGGTTCTCGTATAATATCGTTTATTACTACCAACTGAAATTTTGCTAATTCACATTAACGAACATTGTATTATTATTGTTGAATTAGCTCCGGAAATACCAGCAGTAGAAAGTAACAATTGGTTGCTGCATCGACACTACACCCGCCACGAATACAAAACCTGTAAAATTCTGATCGACCAAGAATTATTCAGATCAAATGGACACAACGAGTACGCTAATTACTTGAAAGTAAGTCAAACTTCTCGGTTTAATTATTTTTTACATAAGACTCAAATTACGTATTTTCTTGTAGGGTTTAATATTGAGGAGAGAGGGGCAAATTCAAGATTCGCTTAACCATTTTCAAGCCGCCTACAACGTGAACTCGACGAACATAAATAATGTAAAACAAATAGCGAAGTCGCTGTAAGTAGAATGAAATCTAATTTATTCCACATCTCTCAAGAATCGATTTTGACGTAGGCACTACAAAATATTGTTTTTTGAATAATTAAATTATAATGTAAAGAGATATCCGTCGTTGAAAAAACAAAAAGTCTTAAGCGGTTCTGTCGCTGTTTTCTATCAAAATATTTGCAACGAATGTTTATAAGTTTTTTAATACACCGAGGCAATTTGATTGCAATTAAATTCTTGAATAATCATTTCCTGTTTCTTCACGGCAATAAGAACTTGACATTGAGTTATTCCTGCTGATTGAATGTTATTTAACAGTTTGATAATGGGCAGTCACAAGCGTGCAATCGACGCGTACTTGGAAGCTGAAAAGATATCAACAGAACCAGATTGGGAAATTTATCTGAATCTAGGCAAGTGTAGGATGTGTTCAATGATGCGATATATGTGAGAGAGAGAGAACGATACCGAGTCTATCTTTTCATTGAATGTTAAATTTATGCCTTCCGTTTTCAAGGTGAATGCTACATGAAACTGAATCAACTGCAAGAGGCAAAGAGGTATCTGAAGAAGTCGATCGATTTGACGAGAAATGAATTACCATACATCACTCTCGCAAAGGTTTGTCTTCTCGAGAACTGCGACAGAGAAGCGCAGGACGCTTACGCAGCAGCTCTTAGGTACACAAAATATCCTCGATTGTTGTTTTCCGTTTTAATGCAGTTTACAATTACCGCTTGCTTGACCTCGCGAAAGCTGTGCACGTGTAGATTGAATTCCACCGTCGCAGCGAGATGGCCGGCTCGAATGTTCTTATTTACGATACTCTTCTGTGTATTATGTTTTACCTCTTGTTGCGAACTAACTATAGATCTCGGATTAAAAAAGATGCCGAGTTAAACAGAAACTAGATACGCTAGAAAACAATTTGATACGGTACTGATTACTACAATACTTCATTGATTTTTTGCGCAGTAAAACAGATTGCTTTTGTTCCAATTGAACGATCGGTATTACATAATCGCTTATAGAATGCGGTACAAAAATTAATGAGTTTACGAAGTGAACAGCTTCTTCGTTAAGAAGAAATTATATTACGTATAGTTTCAAAGAATTTTATTTTAAATCGTAATAAATGTAGTCATCGACAGATACATACAGTCTTTCACAGATGTACATAAAGTCTTGTAAGTCTCGTGAAGTATTCAAGCGACCCAATTCTAGTAATTAAACTATCTAGTGATTAAAGGACAGAAGTGCCTTCCCTCGTTCGAGGGAAATACTGTTCGTAGATAATTGCGATAGCTCTAGAAACGTCGTTTCCGACGGCTTCGTTCACTAATTCGTCTCGTTTCTCCGTGATTTCAGTGAAAATCCTGAGAGCATCGAAGCCGCAACCGAACTGGGTCTTCTGTACCTTAAAATCGGCGATGTTCAACAAGCCTTCCAACAGTTCGGGACAGCTCTTGCACATTCGCCAAATTGTACAAAAGCGATTCTGCCAATAGCTTATATAATACAGGTAAGTTACGTGCGCCTCTTTGAAATATTCCAGGCACGAATGTCCATCGGTGGTTTCAAGGAAAAAGAAAATTGTTTTCTTATAGTGGATTTATCCTGAGGCGTCTTTTTCCTCGGATAGTACAGCTTCAGGATTGCATAAGATTATAGCGGCTTCGAACAATATTCGTACTCTCGTTGGCTTTGCATTTGAAACAGACGTTTATATTTATGGAATTTTTTACTTATGTTCGTCCTATTGACCAAGATTAATGGCGGGAACAGGCAGTTCTACTTTTTTCTTGTCAGAACCGCCCCTTATAAATCGTTTTTATATGGACTTTAAGAAATTGTTATTTTGAAGGAAACAATTTTCGCACCACATAAAAGTAAAAAACCACCAAACATAATGGCGTTTGATATACGATAAAAGGTCGTCGTTTCAATGCCAAGTATGCTTAGCATGTGACATTCTTCAAGAATTTAATTACGAACACGCATACCATGAACGCTTCAGAATTTTCTCTGTTCTTCTCGCTAAAACGCTCTACTTTTTAGAATCACCAAGAGTACGATGTCGCTTTATCGAAGTACAAGCTGGCAGCCCAGTCGATACCAGAATCGTATGGTTTATGGAACAACGTTGGAATGTGCTTTTATGGAAAGCAAAAATTCGTTGCTGTGAGTAGCTTCGTCAGAATCTAATTGCCTGCGTTCTGTGGTTATGTGCGTTATCTATTGCATGAATTGCGCTTTGAAGCATTTCCCTGCTTTTAGCGCAACTTGAACATCTGACCAAACAAAGGCGAAACTGCGTCTTGCAAGTTGAGAATTCAATGTCTTCAATTATGCTAATATACCATTAAGTCGTTCCTGAAATTGGTATCACGTTTCATTTATGTCCTTGTATTGCTTCTAATTTCGTGTTCTTGGTAAAGAGATCTAAGGATCTGGGGATGTAGTGTCTGAGAATATTCGAACGTAACTTTCACAAATTTCGTACCACATATAAATTCAGCAAATACTCAAGCATAAAGAAGAAAAATAGTTTCATCATTGTTCCAAAGAAAATTCCACAAATGTAAGACGTGCTAGAATAACGTTATTCTTTTACCTGGAAGTCGAAGCAAATTGTGAATCAACATGGACTTCATTCGTGACAAAGTGAATTCGTGTACGCTGCCGGCTATAATGACAGTAATTAATTTAAAGCTCATTAAAGGGGATGGTACGTGTGCGTGCGATCGTCTACTAGTGGCGGCCGAGACACACTTGGTTTCGCTACGAGAACTCAATTAAGGGACAAGGCAGAAGCGTGTAATGCATTGGTGCAACCGAAGCAGGAGAAAATCGGCGAATGCGAATTATGTGCTTGGGCATTTGCTAATGAGAAACGTAGGCCATCGCGAGGATGTAAAGTCTCTTGCTTCCACCGAGCGAAGTGAACTCATCCGCACCGTTGGAGAACACGGGAAACTCCACACGTGTTCATCTCAGATTTTAATCAGCTTCTACGCGATAATAGGTCATTTTAGACATAAACGTTTGGTGGTTCGAAATATATTTAGTATTATTATTCTAAGAGGATTGGCGCGTTACTCAAAATTATTCAATTTGGGGAATCTAACTTATCACCTACTATTTTAGCTTTATGACGATGCATGAAATTATATGGTTAACTCAGAGTACTCTCGTCAGCAGTATGTTATGCTTTTAGGATTTTTATACAGGAAAGTCCAACTTCACTAATAATGAAATCTGAAAACGAAATTTTAAACATCCTCTCTATGGTAAATTCCACGTTACGTTACTACCTTCCTTTGCACGTAGCATATGAAAAATAGTTTCGCATTTGGAGTGCAAAAGGCTAAGGCGGGGATCAATAACAGTCGATTGCGTACGACAGAGGTGGCTTAGGACGCGGAAGAAAGGAGATTTCCGTAAAGTGTATTTCTAAAAGTCTAGAAGTAACCGCTTTCATCGTCGTCACCAACCATCGAAAACTTTTTCCAATTATTTGATCGTTCGGTGTCAAAAAAAAAACCACTTGGTTTTGTGTTTTTAACTGCGGATATTGGAATTATTGAGGGTTATTAGAGCGGTCTTACGAACCCTTTCAAACGATAAGAACCTGCTGTACTTCTCAAAGAATAAGAACTAGGTTGACACGAGAAGGAAGTTTCCTAATCCACTTCGCTATTATTCCGTTTAGACATTATTGTTGGTAAATCCAGGATTCGAAGGTAAGTCGATTAAGTTTCTAACTGAGTTTTAGTTTATCTTGTCAACGATAAGAAGCGAGAGGAGAAGCAACGTTCTTTGATGGGATAAGAAATAAGAAGCATGCCTGGTCACGTCTGATTGTCTCTTCTCCGTTGGAACGAGCGTTATCTTCTTCAAAGAATATGGCGATGCAGAGGAAAGTTTAACACTCGCTGAACTTTTTGTGAATCTGAATATTTACCAGTTTAGGAATTTAGGATTTTGAATGTTTGAGGATTTGGAAATTTAAGAATTTTGTTATATGTCGACAATGCATTTTCCATTATAATTGATAATCTGCACGTAATAATTGTTCCGCCTGATTCGCGAACTACTAAATTGATCGTGGTGGAGTATATAATTGTGTGACAAATCGGCTTAACGCCCTAATCGTTTCCAGGCAATTAGCTGCTTGAAGAGAGCACACTACCTCCATCCAATGGCGTTCGCTCCTGCCTACAATTTGGGTATGGTTTTTCTCACCACTGGACAAGCTGCTTCAGCTGCAATTTATTTGTGCGGTGCGGTCAATGCGGAGCCAAAAAATCCCATGCCGTATCTTCTACTAGGCCGTAAGGTTTATTATACTCTTTCTTTTGACATTTTTTGTGCTAATTAAACTTGATATATTTTATTTCGTTATATTCTCAATTTATTTAGGTATGCACTAGTAACATGCATATATTAATTAGCTAATTAAAATGTATGACGTTTTTATCTTCCACTTCGTCCCACATCAAATATTGGGGTTTTAATTTCGACTCTTAACAAAAAAGTTTTCTCGTCACCGATGCAGAGTATATCGTTACAGATGAAATATCGTTCAATTTGCAAAAAAGAGTATACAAAGTATTAAAAGGAAATATGAATTTTAATAAGCAGTCTGATTAAAGTATACGTTATTTCATCAAATAAAATCCTTTGAAAGACGGATGTGGCGAGGGTCTTTCCCTTTCAGTCGAGGGTCCACCGTTTTACCGCGACAAAATGAATAAGAATTTCCGTAATAAACATACATCATCCGTAAGAAATTTAGATTTATTTTTGCATAAACAGCACTACCCTGACTTATGAGATTAAAGTCTCTTCATCCACACCCCTCTTCATTCCCTACGTTGCGTATTTCTACGGTAAAGATATACAAAGTTATGAAGAACCTACTATGATAAAGTAGTTGTGGCACAAGGAATTTTTATTACCAAATAAAATCTTCGACGTTTGTTATAGTTGCCCTGAAGCGATTGGACGACCTGGAGGGTGCTGAAAAGGTGCTGCAGAGGGCTCACGCGATGTCGCCGCAGGATCCTTTGATATTAATTAATTACGCGATAGTATCGGAAGCACAGGGTAAAAATACCACCGCGGCTGAATTGTTAACCGCGTTAAACGACATCACGGTTGTAATTGACGTAGATGAGCAGGTAAGTTTATTGGCGTAAGTAGATAAGATTCAGTCTGGTTCAAATCTGAAGAGCACTGCTATTCCGGACAGAACTTCTACTTACGCCACTGGTTAAATTCCAAGGATTTAAAAGTCTAAACAGTGTTTTTCCATTTCTTTCGTTTATTGTTCCAGATAACGCAGACTGCGAAGAAATTGTCGGCGAAGATTCAGCAAGAAAGCACATCTGGCGGTGAAAATACAAGAGTGCTGAATGCGGACGAAGTTTAAACCGAGATATTCACTTGTTGAAACAAAAATTCTTATTCAAATTGTTCCATACAGATCATGAGACATTTTACCACGTGTCCATATAGATATTTAAAAAAGTTTAAAAAAGGGTTTTTACTATAAAGGTCAGTCTTCGACAAAAAACACAAGTTACATGGCCGCTATCGGATTCTTGCGTAGGTTTCATTAACTTTTTATTTATATTTATTGTAGCTCCTCCAGCTCATCAACCAAGGCTCCACGTGTCAAGGAGACCTAGTTTTCTCATCGAAGTTTTTCCGGATGACCGCGGTACATTAACTGCTGTATTCCCGTTGGAAGCCTCTTCAAAAGTGTCAAGGATTAACGAAGGATCGGCACGGAAATGTTACGAAACCGGAACATACTTGCGACGCGATATCGCTCGTGTCTGTTCTTCGTTTAAGGGATTATTAGTTCGCGTCACCTTAAGCTTCTCATACTCACGCTTCAACTACTTGCCTGTAACGTTTCTCCATCTAACGGTAATTGCGGAACGAGTGTAATACGGAAGTAATTAAGGTGTGTCTCTGTAAAGTATTTGTGTCTACATTGTGCGTGACAAGTCGAATTAACTTGATTCAAACTACCAATCTCTACGATTATTACTAGAGAGAGTAGGTTCTCGATTAAAAGTTTAATTATTTTGTTTAAGCATCACTTCATGATTACCCACTTGTATTGACTCGTCGCAAAAATTTCTACGCGAATAAATTCGATTGGAAGAACTAAATATGGTACATTAATGCAATCACTAGATTGCGGATGTTTATACATTTCTGACGTATCAAAGGTTGCAAAGTACACATAAATTATTTAATCGAGGTTGTGGATTTTACAGATTGCATGATTTGTTTACATTTTGTAAATTCTGATATATCGTAAATACATAAACGTTCGCAATTTAATAATCTCTATTAAGGGTACTATGTGTATGTGTGTAGGTTATGTAGGTATATGAGCGAGATACAATGTTTAGTATTGAAATTGTTCATAACTTGAAATATGTAAGAACGACACCGTTTAAAAGATTCCAAAATTGTATGTAGCTATGTACATTAGCTATGTTCGTTTAAACTGGCATCTTCGTTAGCCTCGTAGATCTTTCACCCAGACATCGCCCTACATTCAACCTGTGTCGTTCAAATTCGTTTAGCAATAAATTTCCTTCGTGTTTACGCGTCTATCTAACCGCCTGGAAATCGAACGCGTATCGTTTGATGCTCGAAAATGTTATCAACCGAATTCTCCGTAAAAGCAGTACCGGTATTCGGAAATTGACATCGAAATGTGTGTCGAGGTCAAAAATAGACCACCGCTTGTTAACCGCGATACAGTTAAATTCGATAACGTCGGAATTTTAATGCTTTGCGTTGACAAAATTTTTTAATTTTCCGCTGAAATGATAAAAAAATGTTTCCTTGTTAAATTTCTGGTTAACAAGATAAGTGCCGCAGGGATTTTATAATGTAGAAATATGCATATGTGTGAATTTGGAAATGTAAAAATTTGCGAATGTGAACTTGCGAACCGGCACATCGGGAAATTTAGGTTTTAATTCAGGAATTCGTTAAGGTATTACTACGAATTACATCAACACTATATACGCCAATTTTCACGCATGCGAGCATCGTTCGCCGCTCACCTCCGTGATTATGTCATTGGCCTCATCATCTTTATCGCTCATCCCACACGATCAATTACACGACTCATTATTCGTGTTCATTAAGCCCGAAGAAGTGGGGTTGATGAAGAAAATCGACGTGCAGGTCAGGAAAGTTTCAGTGGATCCACGTGGAGGGAAAGGCGTGGCGCATCCAATTCGTCTCGTTGGAGATAATTAATTTAAAGGCACTCGAAGGGAGCGTATCGCGATAGAACACGGACGAAAGACGAGCAACATGCTCTTGCTAGCTGCCAGTCTTGCTGCCGACAAGAGAACTCGATTAGAAGAAGCGACGGGGAAGGATGCGTCGTTGCGAGAACACTGTTCAATGAAGGACAGATAGGTTCTCTCATCGAAAATAACAGAGGTTGTATACAACTTCTCGTAGTTTTGCGATAGGCACAAAGAGTTGTTGATTACGGACATTGTAATTAGTTCCACCTGTCGATTGTCATAGGTAGACTGCGGATGGTCATACGGACATTAATAGAATATAAGAAAAGAGACAGAAATTTATCTTGTATATGCTAATAGTTCAGGTGTATCTGTCATAATTATCTTGTAAATGCACTGTTTAAGTCAACACTTAACACTATTTTCCTGGTATTTGTTAAACGAAGTGTTGTTAGAATTTAAACATGCAGATTTATTTGAATTCAATTCAAAGTGGATTATTAATGCACTCTCGTTCTAAGAAATCCTTTTGGTTTTGAAATATGCGAATGGAATAACATACTATATTCAACGTGCTTCATACATATGTTCGGGTCCAATATTATTCAGGTATAATCACGCAACGCGATACGAACGGATGGAAAAAGGAGAATCCTCCGAGGATTCTGAATAAAAGAAGAGAAGTGTATTTGCATTCGAGGTAGTAAAAATGTTCTCCTATCTCGAAATAATTATGCAGACAAGTTTAACCGGGAATTTTATTAAGATGATAGCCATTTTCCTACAAAGTTTGCTATACTAACGCGATAAATTATGATTATCAAGATTTTAAAAATTATCAAGTTTCCAAATTCCGTAAATTCTAACACCCTAAAATTTTCAAATTTCTTTTCTATCTTTTAGTGAAAATCAGAACTTTCGAAGTTAAATCATTTCACCTGGCTGTAATTAAATTCATTATATATAATGAACTTCTTTCATAGCTGGCGAAATATTAGAGAATATTGCGACGAAACATTGTACGGGCGGACATTTTGATTCAGTTCAGTTTGAACAAAATTAATTAACGACAGGAATAAAGCCCTGTTCTAATACGAAATTTCTTCTCGGTTTCCTCGGAACTTTAGAAGTTCGAAATTAAAGGTGGATATTGCTGTTCACTGAACGGATGCGAATAAAATAGTTCGAAGGCTAAAAGGAATTAGTTATCAGATGTTACATAAAGTAGCGAAAGAAATGTAGAGCTTTATTGATAAAACTCGTGAATCGTGATACTTGTGCCGTTTTAATATTCTCTGTTTTGTTGTCACACTTATTGCAGATCTTTATCGAAATTCTAAAAGTAAAATGAAATTACTTCATAGTTCTGGCTTTGTAATTAAATGCCGGTTTGAACAGCAGTGGTACAATTATCGTTAAAATAATAGCAATGAAACATAACTGGCAGAATGCGTTTCAAAATACATAATTAAACATTCATCGAATCAACATTCATTTAATTATCGTTCCAGTAGAGAAATACGTGTCAATAAAACGATACTACGTGCTCCGATCGAGTAATTAAATATTCGTTAAATCAATTTGGAACTAGGTCGGATATCTTCGGTTTCTGAATCTTCACGTTTCTAAATTTCCAAACTTTCAAAGGTGACTCCATGTTTCAAAACAAATAATCCATCATCTACCATTGACCAAAAAATGAAAGAGCGATAAAAATAGCGACAAACAACAATACATTTTGAAAACGTTGAAAAGACTTCTGATAGAAATTGTAGGAGATAGTAAAAGAACAGATGCGAGCGAATTGGCCCATGAAAGAGAAGCAATTTCGCTGGAAGAAATTGATTTCCAATACGTGGCCAAACGGAAGCAAAATTACCATGATACACGTTGTGAACGTCTCAGTTTTTTCAGAATATCGTATCCTGAATATTCATACGAGATAACAGTTTCGTCATTTACATAATTGTATAACCATATACACGATCTAACGTGGTTTCCTATACATATGTACGTACGATTTCGATTATATCCATCGTTCTGTGTGGTTTGACGAGCAATTCCTATGATGCAAGTTCGATCGGATTCCAATTACTTTCAACTAATTACTTCAATGTTGATTCTGCTTCGATGACCTTTGCCTTTGTAAATATTTAAAAAGGAAATCCTTTAAAAATAATATTCTTCCAGTTATAAACTTTATACGTTTTTTAAACGGTCCATATAAATACACTTTCCGTATTTTACATATTTTATTTTCGTCAGAGTAACCTCAAAGACGTGCAATTATTACTTGATCGACTTGCATAAGTTCTTGGTATTATTCATTTGTGCTAAAATGAAACAGGCAAGGTGTTTTTATTCTTCTCTTCCTAATTAAAATACTAGGACGTTTTTTTACAGCTGCCTTTTTATACTTTCATACTTTTCTATTGGTCCTTTTAGAGGCAGCACGCTCAAAGAGTGAATAATTCTTTGTGAGACCGGAAGGAGATGATGAAGGATGGAACTGGAAGAACGAGCAAAGAGTATTCGAAGAACAAGCGACGTAATCGGAAGAGTTTCAATGAAAAAATCGATATTGGATAATACTTGTTCTTCTCGTTCCTTTATCCTCGATTCAAATGCACGATAATTAATTGTCGAAACATTTGATATTCAAAGGAACTTTATTTCATAAGAAACATTTGAAACATCTCGTGAATTGACTTTCTCGTATCGCACACGATAGAGTTACCGAAACACCCTATACAGGATAAAGAATTAAAATATCAATATTCGATACAGAAACGTTTATTTGTCTGTACAAATAATTTGTTATTTTTGTGCAACGAAAGCTTCTTTTGGCTGAGATGCGGAACGAGGGTAATATTTCTAGAGCCAAAAGAAGACTAAGTTGTCCACGACTGTACATCGATAGATCTTCGGCAGGGCTCAATAGCCAAAAATCTATCCGTATAAAATAAATTTAAAAAAATCATGCTTTGTAATTAAAACTTATCGTACAATTACTCTAATCGAAGTACTGTAGAACGTATACATTTTTTCTCTAATAGATGAAGTTTGATGGAGTCGAAAATTTGTATTGCGAATAACTTTGTGCGCCGCGAATGGATGCAAATTGCGTTGTCCTTTCGATCGTGCGTTTCACGATACTTTTCACAATTTTACGAAGCAAATATTATTATGCTCCTTTGTGTTCTCTTTTGTCAGGTCGTATCACCTTTGAAATTATGATACAACGCGAGACACGATTTAAAATTAACAGTAAATAAAATCACAGTTAACGGATAGCGAATAATTATCGAGTCGGGCATTTTCCAAAGCACCGAATTCGATCGAACAAATCCTGTTTCGAGTAAATTTAACGCGAAGTTATAGCCGAACAGAGCTGCCATTTGCAGGAAAGCCCGACGAATTGTTAGACGAAGTTCACTCGACGCTAAGCCTGTCGAGCCCAAACTTCGAGCTTCCGATGAAGCAACGGATTCTCTGATTATTCTATCGCTGGCAGCATTCCTCGTTATTCCTTTAATTTCGAAAAACATCTACCCTAGTATACAAAAAGAAATTGAATTAGGATAAGATCGAGTGATGGCTATTTTGACCTTAAATTACAATTTTGTCTTTATTAAATTGACGATGTGCCTTTCAAAGTGTACCATCGCCCCGACTTATCCTACCAAAACCCAAATCGTTAATATTTACACGAACAAGTCTTTTCTCGGCAAATATCAAAAAGTACAAACAATATTATAAATCATTTTGATTCGTTCAAAGTCGCGTGGTCTCCAGACCTTTCAGCCTACATCATACGTAGGTGCTCTGCACGTCGGTCTGCTGGGTGGCAGGTTGCCACTTCTTCATGATCCTAGGTTTGAACAGTTGGCCGAACGTGGTGCGAAATTGTCTGGACATGGAGCAGTACAGGATGAAATTGATGGCCCCGTTCAACAGGGCTAGGATGTCCATCACCTCGCCGAAATTGTGGTAACAGTTGCGGAAGAAGCAGTCGCCTAGCACCCCTGAAAAAAGACCCAGGACACCCTGGGGAATCTCCGTGACCAGGAACAGTAACAGCACAGCCACCAACATCTTCGTCGTTCTGTCTGCTCTTTTGTCCGATTTGCTCGGACGTCGCGGGACCAAACCGTTGCCCATCGGGACCGTACTTTTGCACTGATTGTAGCTCTTCAAGGCTTGCTTCCTACCTTTCGCTCTGCAACAGGATTAAATTCAAAACCGATACCGAGCGTTCTTTATTTTCCAGACTATCGCTATTTCAGCAAGATCAATTAGAGAGGTACTTTTCCTTCGATGTCGATTGGAACTCTTGGAGATTTGCTTTTAACAGCCCGCTTTCAAACAGGATCATTTGCACGAGAATGCTTCTTGAAAGGTTGTTTGTTTATTCTAATTGATTTCGAATGCGTTTAACCGGATATAGTGTCTCTCCTATTTCGCTCGGAACTCTTCAAAGCTCGAACTTTCTAAACCGGGATTACTTAGACGGAAATTTCATGTTTATCTTCGGGGAATTGGTACAACAAAATTTTCAACGTTCTATTTTTAGATCTCTTTCTGACTCCGATATTATATAAACCTTGGGGAATGCGAGGAAAAAGTAGGATTTACTTGTAAAGAGCCTTGATCAGCCAGCAACTGATAACTGTGAGGATGACGCAGGGCAGAATCTTCACGACGACCGCCAGCACCCAGAAATTCAATTGGTAGAAGAAACCCTTGTGATCCGAGTAATCCGCGTCCACCGTGTAAGCAATCTCCAGGGTGCCATTTTCGTTTACCGTCTGTTTCTTTATCTGTCGGACAAACATTCGCTTACCATGGTCAGAATCTTGTACTGAACGCTTAACAATCAGAATCAACTTTATAACAAGACAAGGTGTCCTAGTATTTTTGCAAGAATGCATCAGAACCAACAGATTCTTTTCTACAAGCATAAATATTAGATAAACACAAATAGAAGATTTATTGTGGAACTAGAAAGTTCATTGCATAATTCAGGTTTTATTATGCGAGAAGAGATACGGTTTACAGAAAATGGCGTACAGGTTCTGTCAAGCAACTTCCGTTGCATTAGCTATGCAAATATCTCCTGATACTTGAAATCCAGCATTAACGATGCTGGATGCATTGTATTAAGCTACAAAGGATTTACTTACTCCAAATACGGGATAACTAGGTGCACAGACGACGAAAGGTGCCAGGAAGCTGCTCCAAAGGGCTATTCTACAGCGTGCAGCAGTACACCATGAGTTGTATTGTGGAAACCTGCGATCACAAAAGAACAATGCGCTTCAAAAGATTGTAATTGGTTATTCAATGTCCCTCCCGTGATATTCTGGCAAAAATTCCCGATTTTCGTCAAAGCGAAATTTTCAACAGAATTTTTCCAACGCTGGAAATAACTCGAATAAACATTCTTGACATATTCTGCGTTGCACCGTTCATCTACAGTTCGGTACACTGCTATATCACCCTGTTTCTGCTTGATCCACTCTCGTGTATTAGCCACTACGTTTTTGCATATCAAATAGGCAATTTTCAGACATAAAAGACCCGATAGTATTTCGTGACATAAAAGTAACGCAAAATGGCAATTACGCTGCAACGACTTCCAAAAAATGGCTGAACAGCTTTCACCGATTTGCGTGGTTGTCGATCACGTTTCCATAGCCGATATCGAAATATATATTTTATTATGAATTTTTGTCAAGATATTCCAGCGCTTCATTAAGGAGCATATTTCACAAGGGATACTTGACAGAAATAATTTGAAAAAATAATGCATCAGTGTTCGAGGCGTATGTGAACGTTTATTGATCATTCGATTCGTAGTTCTTTATACGTATGTGTCAAACAAACCTTTCAAACAAAAGCAATATATGAGATTCTGGAAATGCGTAACAGAGAGTGTTGACACACGAACAAAAAAGTTTCGTAAATCGATATTGCGCGTTAAATGAAAATTTTTTTATTCGTCTTTGTTTCAGCTCAGAGTTACAGCAAATAATGTTTCGCGCTCTATTTTTCTCTTTTTCGTTATGGAATTTAGTTGGCGTTTCATAGAGTTGGGGAATTGGGAAATTTAGGAATTCGGAGATTCGAATTCAATAAAATTAGCAATCGATTCGCATGTTTCACAGAAAGTATCCGCTCGAGAGATCCAATTACCTTCTAAGAAGAATATCTGTTTCACTTGAGCAATTTAATCCGATAGCTATCAGCGAAAAGAAAGAAATGGGGCGTGAAAGGCATGGCAGACGCTATGCAGATACCTTATTTGCTCGAGCAAATAGTCCGGCCGCTAGTAAAGTCACGGAAAGTGAAACTCGTTAGCGGAAAATGTTCTTATAGCTTGGATAATGATGTTTCTTACTTTTTCCATATTGTTCTCGGCACTTCGCATTCTGCTCGTTCCTCTCTTCGCGATACGATATTACTAAGCCAATAAGGATTATATTGATTTTTTTTTTAAGTCGAACTTTCGTTGTTAGCAAGCAAACTTTTGCAAATTTGAGGATTTAGGGATTTATTCACTTAGAAACTTAGGAATTGAATTTGTATATCAAAGTATTTATAAATGTAGAAATTTCAGAATGAAAAAATTGTTTATTCGAAATACCTGCAACGTGGAAATTGAATTAAACAGGAAAGAAACTTTTCAAAGATGTATCTCCTCCGAATTTTCATCATTTCAAACTTTCTTCTTTTCGATGTACATATTTCAACGACATTAAACTATCTGAAACACAGAAATGATAATCCACTTTTTTACGAGCGAAGTTATCAGGTGTTAGCCCAGTTCGAGAAGTAGGGTAAGGGTATATTAAATGCTGAACTATACGTAGTACTCGAGTTTGTGCAGCATCTTTTAAACTAGATTTTCCACTAAATCCTCTGTTTCCTTGAAACGGTTTACTCCGTTAACTTTGTCAGAGTATCGATGAAAAATTGAAACGACATTAAACGAGATTCCCGAACGTGTAGAGTGCCATTGTTTTTCGGAGCTCCTTGTTATCGATTCGATCGATCGTTAAGCTCATAATATTGTAGATTTAATTTGTGTCCGAGTTTCGACGCCAACTTTCGAATTGTTCGATTCAAATTTATATTAGTTCCCGGCTCCGGTGCTCACGATTCAACATGCAAACTACATTGTAAGTGTGTGATAACGCTGTGCAAACAGCTTCATTATACGTACAATGGATTTCGTCCAGATAAAAATAATCATGCTTTGTTTAACGCTACATGTTTCGATTTAACGCTTTAACAATTTAATAGCGAATCCTCGAAACCTACATCTTTGCGATGTTCCATCATTGTACGAGGGAGATCTCTAAACGCGAGGATTGCGGTGCGTGGAGATACGTCGCGTGAAGATACGGAGCGTGGGGATATCGGGCGTGAGGATATGGAGCGTGGGGATACGGCGCGCGAGAATTACAGCGCGTGGAATTCCGGCGCGTGAGTATACGGAGCATGAGTATACGAAGCGTGAGAGAATACAGAACGTGAGGATTGCAAATCAGCGAGACACGTCGCGAACTATAATAATTGGTCATTTCCGTCATGCAACCCCGTGATTCGATGAAACGATTCGAGAGTGATTTGCCCGGATGTAGGCTAGCATCGGTTGTCTCGCGCTAAAAGCATCATGTAATCTCGTAATCGACTCACAGAGCTCAATATGGCTTCATCCTCGCAACATGTAATATTCTGTTTCCGCGTTAATCGTCCGCATTAAACGCAATTTCTCTTTTATCCCAGAGGATCAGTTAATCGCGTTTTCAGTACAATTTCCTTTAGTCCTTGATTACTCGTGAATACTCGCGCGCCATCGTACTCGATGTAAATTTGCACTGTCACTGGTTACGATTTTCCCACGAGACCGGAAAATATAATATTGGTATCAAACTAAATAGTGAAGCGTGTTCCGATGCTACTCTACCGAATAATGTTCCTCGGGCAAGGTTCAACAGTTGAATTAATGAGTACTTGCTTTCAAACTTCGTCTAACAGTTAAAGTTAGATGATGTTACGTTGAAGTTGGATACAGCGACGAATCCACTGCATTCTGTGACATAATTAGGAATTCCTATGAATATTATTTTCATTCGTGGGCGACTTGTTTTCTGTGTCTCCAAGTGTTAATATGATTTCATGACAGAAAAGCATCGTGGAATAACACTTTTAATATATCAATTTAAAGCTTGAAGTCTAAAGAAAATTACCACGAACTCGTTCAATGAGCATTCTTAATACAAAATGGCTTCTAGCCAAGTACAGCAAATGGTGGCAGCAGATGCATTCATGGGATCTATTTTAACATTTGGAAGTCCAATATCATGACTGAAAAGTATCACGAAATAACACTTATGCTACATCAATTTAAAGCTCGAAGTCTAAAGAAAATTTCTATGTAAAAGATATTTGAATATTCTTCGTAAAATAGATACTTATTAAATGTAACGAATAGCTGTGTTAATGAAAAACCGTATAGCATGTCGTTTGAAAGCAGAGCACATAATTACAGAAAATGTATGCAACCCACGTCATGGTTGATTGAAAAGTCATTTCCAGTGTATGTGTTTGCGTTCGATAGAAAATTCCTTAGTTATCTATAAAACATACATATATACAGGGTACTTCAATTTATTTGTTATTTTCACTCGATTGCGATCGACAGCAGTATCCGTTCGCGGAATCGTTTATTTTGATCGAAGATTCCATGAACGGATGCCTTTTAAATCACCCATTGTCGAAGATATAAAAGATTCCGGATATTTTTTAAAAAATAAATTATGATACTTCGTGGGTGGTTTAACACCCACGTATTAACGTAACTCGAACTCTTATCTCAGATTCCTTACTTTTATTCGCGGCATCATTGTGTCATATTCTGGGAACATAGGATGTGATTTAGAAAATTGGCTTTTTAATATATACAAATCTAGACTATAGGAAATTTCGAGGTTTTGCAATTTTATATGGAAAATTAAATATTTGAACATGGGAGAATTTATTGAAGAGCTTTTGACAATCGGTAGGCTTCGGAATTTAGTGATTTAGGAAGTCGAATCGTCAAATATTCGACACGTTGAATTGATCAAATTAAAACGTTTCAAGTCATTTAGCAATGAACTAAGTGTATATAATTGAATTTTTATTTAATTCAATAATCTTGGACATACTGGCATATTTGTTAAATCAATGATACGTAATTATTCAGGCGCATTGTTCAACCATTTGTTGTGTCATACATTTACGGCAGCTATTCTGTTAATTTACGATACCCGACACAGCGATTGATCATATCCATTTAATTATGAAGTCTCTTGAAAGCTACGAACGTGGCATAATGCAGAGTGCGCATAAATTTCAATGTAAAATGTCTAAAGCGTTTTCGAAATTATGAAAATGAAATGGAATGTCAGATCCGTTCGCAAAATGTGAAATGATTTCGCCTTGCCTTATAAACCTGTGTTTATTTCGGCAATATTAAATTATAATTATGATCGCTTTTTATTAAACGCGTTTCGAGATTAATAACACTGCAACGTCATCTAGAATTTCAACGCTTTTCAATTTAATCTTTTCACGCTATTAATTTTAATATTATGAAAAATGCCACGAGCGTGCTCGCAAACGGTGCTAGACGTTTGGATTTTCGGATTTATCATTTCTGGAATTTAATAACTCTGAGATTTGGGGTTAATGGGTTTCTTAGGGGGTTTAGAGATTTAGGGATTTGAGGATTTGAAAATGTCGGAATTTTGAAATTGAAGAAACTGAAGATTTAGGAATTTGTAAATCAAGTCGGTCTAATAATCTTGGAATCTCGACACTAAAAAATTCTATTACTTGGAAAAATGAAAAATTTCATTTTCAAATTCGAAATTGTGAAGCAAAATGAATGGGTCAGAAAATCGATATCTCCAAATTACGGAAGTAGTAAATTTCCAAGTTTGTAACGAAGTACCTCGACATCTCTAATTAATATCCGACATATTCTTATGTAGTCGAACTACACGAAAGTTAAGTAACAGATAAAGTTAACGCGTACAAGATGTCTCGGTCGCATCGATCATTTGGGACTACTAATAGAATCCGATTAATTAAGGAAAGTTTAGTTATTAGGGTAGTTTGGTACAGTGGCTGATAGTGTACGAACTAGATTCCTGTATCCCTTTCGGTGTTCACTTTGCGGATGCGTTGTTCTCGCTTGCGGCAACAATGCGTTCAAGCGCTCACATGATCGAATGCAACAATAAATTCATTGATTGGAAGATCGAAAAACACGCGGAGCGAAACAAGCTACGCAGACGATTTAATTGGAAATCTGCTTCAAATAGTTTTGCAAGAGATAAAAGATGCCGATGTATTTTTAATTCACGCGGGATTTAATTGTAAGTTACCAACGAAAAGGTTCACTTACGTTACTCCGAAGCAGATATATTTCTTTAAATACTTACCCCATGCAAAATAATTTTGACGAATATTAATTTTTATCATTTTGTTATTAGAAATGAAAATTTGTTATTTGACAATTTAATAGTAAACATGTTAGATCGTCATACATATGTACTAAAATTTCTATTACTCGCAGAAACCAAATCATAGGATGTTCTAATTGTAAGTAAATATTTGTACATGCATGTTACGTGTACTGATTAATGTCCCTGTTATGGCTTGATAACACAATTCAAATATACCCTAACCATTAATTCGAAAACATAAGAAAAAATGATAAAATTTATTTTCTCGAAAAATCATCATAGGTACACATGCACCGAAATGTTTATTCCTCTGTAGGGTTACTCTAGAGCGTAAACAGAGTTTGTTGTATCGCAATATTCATTTCATATTCAATTTCCCTCCGGACATCGTGCACCAATTACATGGTCCAACAACGAAACCGATGGTTTTTAAATTAATACAAAAATGGGCTTGTTAGAATGTTCTACTGTTGTACGGTTACGAGATCAATCCGACATCATCGTAAGCATCGAATTTCCTTGTCAAACAATACCGTGTGTTTTGTAAATCAACAACTAACGAATCTACGTCATGCTGCATAAAAGCAGGGGCAAACACGGTTATGTAGCAATAATGTGATACATTTGGATATGTAGGCGGTTGTTAACAGAGAAAAACGGAGTTCGTTATTATTACCGAACAAAAATCTATAAAAATATCACTCGTTAGAACAGATTGAATATTCTGCGATATTAGATTTCCTGGTTATACTGTTTCAGGTAAAAATTTCGTTCAAAAATTTTTGGGCTCAAATGTGGAATCTCTGATAACATACTCTCTGACCATTAATGAACATTCAAATAATAAATAATAAAGTACGAATTTATATTTCCAGATAAACATCCTGTACCAAATTCCAATAAAGCAATTTTAAACAACAATAATTATCGAAAACGTTTAACAAAAAAAGATCAAATCAAACGTTATTCCTCAGTTTACGTTGTCTGAAGCATTCCACGTCTGCTCCGATCGTTTTCGATTTGATCGTGAACAGATTGTAAAAAGCTTGGTTGAACAGTAAGAGAACATTTATACGCGGATTCCAGTCATCTTACAGAACTTTTAATACCGGAATGCTGTTTGGCGTCGATACCGAACAAATCGACTCGTTTCCTTTATCGCTTGCCTCGGAAAGAGGGCGGATTATACGCTTCCACGGTGGAATAGCGTAGCTACAATAAACTCGAACGTACTCCACGGTTTTATCTAAACAAAGATCACTCTTATTGCGAGCAGTTATTGTTAGATTGGATTAGGTTGACCCGGTTGTTGGTATCGGTACGTTGCAGCTACTCCCTTTGTGATCGTACTCTGTAATGATCGAGCTAACAGGAAACGGAAGGCAAGTGTAGTACTGGTCGAAAATATAATAGCATCACTGCCTTTTGTACCATTTAGTACCATTCGTACAGCGCGTATAATGGCCGAGATAACGAATTTTGGTACGATAGAAAGGGAGAGGGTGCAGAGTGGGATTTACGGAGCGTGGAAATATAGCGCGTGAAGATACGGCGCGTGAGGACTACGGAGCGTGGAGATACGGAGCGTAAAGATTACGGAGCGTGGAGATACGACGCGTGAGAATTACAGAGCGTGGAGATACAATGCGTGAGGTTGCGGCGCGTGAAGATTCGAAGGGTGGAGATACGGAACGTGAGAGTACGGGACGCGAGGATACGAAGCATGAGAGATACAGGAGGTGAGAATTACAGAACGTGTGAAATACAGAACGTGAAGGTTCAAAGCGGATAGCAGATGAAGATACAGAGTGTGACGACACAGAGCATAAGAGTACAGATCGTCACGATAAGCAGCGTGATAATACAGCGTAACGATAACAGAGCGTGCTGTTACTTTCATAAATTAAACAATTTATATGATAATGTGATATAATGTAATTTGAGCCGAAAATAATAGTAATACCAATGCGTTATATAAACGTAACCTCGTAAATTGTCTTGGAACTATTACGAGAATAAACGCATAATTGAAGAACAACGACGAAGATTACAAGTCCAAACTTGGTTAATGCAAACGACCGGAAGTCTTAGAAGTTAGCGATGATAGTTTGAAAAGTTCTTGAACTCGACGAAGACGGCTTTGAAATGATAAGACTTCTGCACTGATGACATCGAATACTTTGTCCACTGCAATTCAATAAAGAGGATCTTGGCTCGCGGCCATTTGTAAATATGATCTTGAACTTGTAACACCCGATGAATCGACTACTTCGACTTAGGAATTCCTGGAACTAACGTTCGACGAATTCGACCATCGATATAAATTTAATTTATTAGTTAGTCAAAAGTAACTTACTCGAGAGTAATAATAGTAACGGTACCATTGAGAAACTAATGTATTGTTTACACTGTCGCTTCAATTTGCAAAACTAAGTTAGCTTCAAATTCAACGTAATTGAATTTTATTTCTGAGAAAGTTATGATTATACTAATAACATAAAGCAAATCAGTGTAAGCATAAATTAGGAAATAATTATTCCGATAATTAAATGCATTTTCTTTGTGCCTCTTTCAGATAATTGCGAGTCCGTGTCGGAGTAAAAAATTTATTAAATATTGATTTACAATACGAGCTTGGATGAAACACTCTTTTATTTTTATTGGAAGCATAAAACGAAAGCGTGAAAATTGGACGATGGAATATGTAAAAGGTGACTACATGGAAAACTGATATTTCCAGTGCAGTTTATCCGGTATATTTAAGGCAAATCACCCGATATCTGTGAAACGTTTCAGAGTTTTCGCGGTGGATAACTCGTAAACTTTTATCATTTTTATCGCCCCTTTCAACGATACTGTAAGCTCGATCCAGATATCGCTGGGTTTAACACATATTAGACTCTCCGTCATCCTCGAAGCAATTTCCTTCGAACAACTTTTTACCAATGTCACTTTCGAACTGAAACAAAATTTCGAGAATTCTTCGGAAAACTCTCACGTACTACAATTTCTGCCAAATAGAATTTTACCTGCGAAATTCAATCCTCAGTTTACCGAGTTTGCGATTTAAGTTTTTGCAAATTTACAATTTTCAAGTTTAGGAATTTAAATATCCAGGGATATAATCATTCGAGAATTAATAATTTTGGAGACATACGATATGTTTAGAAATGCAGGAATTTAGAGGATCTGAAAATTTGACTATCAAAACTTTGTAAACGTGGTTGTAATTTATTCGAAAAAAGTAGTTGAAAGTTTATCAATTTTCGTAACATTCCATAATTCCCAACGCCAAATAAATTTCCCAAGGGATGTCTGCCCTTACAGACGGCTGCCTGTATTCCCTATCAAAGCTTGCCCTTTTTTCTGCGTGACATTCAGCGAAGCGATTCATCTACGTCCTTAACATTAGAGAATTCGACTCACCTGATGGCGATATATCTCCAAACGGCCAGCGTGAGTGTGATGGCGATACTGATGGTGTGTAGTAGCTGCGTGAAGTGCATGTGAAACAGCACGTACACGGCCCATCCATAAGGAAACGTCTGTCTCTTTGGCAGGACTATGTAGTTGTAAATAGCGAAGGGTATGTATTCCAACATGACCAGCATGTCGGCGGAGGCTAGACCCGTCAGTATACGATTGATGGGTGTGGCCACCATGTCTTTTCTCGTCAACACGATAATGTTCATCATGTTGGCCAGAGTTCCGAACAGGCAAACTATCAGAGCCACGTAGCCGTGGTAGTTTTTGTATTCGGTCGCCAAATCGCGGAAGGTGATGTTGCAGTAACAGCTGGCTTGTTCGTTGTTTCTCGGGGCTGTCAGATTGTCCAGGGTGTACTTGTACACGTAGTCGACGTCGTCGTCGGTGATGTTCAAGCTACGGAAAAGGTGCGTATAATTGTCGAGCTGGTTCATGGTTGTCACTCGATGCAACAGTTGTTTCAATTGCAACAGGGTCGCGTTCAGGTGCATGCGGTGCCAGGTGTCCTCGTAGACGTGGCGGGGCATTGCATGCTCAGAGAATGCATTGTCCTTACGAATAGTTTCTTCGACTTTCTCTTTTTCTCTTGATAACTTTGGACCAACTTTCTAGCAAATGTATCGGCTACGACTACAGTTATTTTTCCTTATACCTTCTCCCAGTAAAAGCTTTAATACAGACGTAGAGTTTAATACTTAAAAATATTTGAATACACGCTCTTTCAGCGGGATTAATCGTATCCTATAAACTATTATCTTCAGGGAAGGTAATTGGTCACGCGGTACCTTTCCGCGAAGTGGTTGCAGCGATGCTTATTTCAGTTTCGTATTTCCCCAATTACAGATTTCATTTTTGCTGACGATACCCTAAGAACGCTGTCTTGATAACAAGACCGTTACCACGAACGTTATTTGATTTTAACGCTGTAATTAACCTTTTCTACCCTCAGTCAACATTTCAATATTGGAATTTGAAGTAAATTAGTTCTGCAGGCGATCATAAAGACGTTATTTAAGCAGTAGAAGTTTATTGATGTTCTTGTTTCTCGACTAAAGTTTGATCGTACAAACTCTGTCGTTGTTATGAATAGTAATAAACACTTTGTTACGATTAATTATATTCTGCAAATTGCTCCTCTAGTTTATCCTTTCTTAAATATCTTCACACTTAGATAATACGGCCTTTTGGCACTCTTTACACTACAGTTGAAGTTTTACGTATTATATCGTTTCGTGTATTACAACATCGTTAATTCTGAATGCAAGAGTTCACACTTTGCGCACTGCAAATTCAAGTTGTTGAAACTTTGTAGACAAAGCTTCTTCGTCAAAACATTTGATGTCTGATTTCACGATCCTTGAACACTCGGTTCGCTTGGAACATCACGGTACTTCCCTCATTGTTCCGTTATGAGTAGCATTCTTCGATACATATAGCACTCAGAAACTTGCAATGGGAAACCAACTTCAGAATCTTACAGAGTCCGCCACTTTGGTACTTCGTGTATGTTCTACTTTCTTATTCACATCTTAAAAGTTTCAATATTTGAATCTACCTCGTGTTATAACTAATTCGCGCTCTTTCTCGGTATCACCCCTTCTCGAAAATTTCAATTCCCGGAAGATCTAACGCTTCAGTTATAACAAAGAATAATCAGCTGTATCGTTGGAAAAAAGCTTATAACTTTCGACACGAGAGTGGTTCAAACGTTCCAAATTTTATTTATTCCATACCAAGAATTTCAACAAGGTCTCTTTGACGTTCGTGGCACACGTTACGCTCCGCGTGAAACAGCTCAGCAAAGAGGTATCGTTACCTCCACAATGATTCGTATAAAGGATATCTTGGAAAATTCACACTCGGCAAATTCTTTTGATCGAAAGATGGTTCTATAGAATCTCGCGTTTATCCAATGTCCTATCGGACTTTTCGCCCGAGTGAACCTTCCAAAGCCTCCTCGGCAAATTCCGATTTTTTCTTCCCTTTCGTCGTAACGGATTATGTGGCTCGTATTTTCCAGCACGGACGCGGAAACTGCGTTCCAAGGAAAAACGAGCAACTTACGACGCACCGGGGATGCATTAGGCTACGTCAGCCCTTCAGGACCCTGAGATACTGCCGGACGTCCTTGAAGCTCACTGCATCTTCACTTTATTATCCCCTGCCGTTATCTGTCACGATTCGCGGATTTTCTTTGCCTCTGTAAAATTTTAAGAAGCATACTTTGAAATTTCCTCAGACGTCCCGGTCGAATGTTTCGGATCGTTTGCCTCCTTTCCACCGCTAATCCGACAATTTACATTCCCTTCGACAGCTTATGTTCACCCGACTTTCATCAGACTCCGACGAAACCATTCCACCCCCTTTCGTGACTCGCCTAACGATCCTCCGAATGATCTTTTTTTCAACTTTGTTGCTTCTGCTTCTTCTGTTCCGCAGCATCGATCCCTCGTCTCCACGTCACCAGCTACTGGACCGTTTCTGGGGACCTCTGGACAAATTAGTTTCTTCACTCTTTTTCCCTCTGGTTATCGTTCGCTATATTAAGGTCATTGGTAACTTTTTCTGGTCTTTACGCTCGCATGGTTGAGTATCTGATTGATTAATTCGGAAGGTGACATCGTTATAGCACTTTTTAGTCTGGATTGCAGAGAAAGAAAAGATAAACGAGTACACAAAGTAAATTAACTGTTGTATTGTGATATTATAGGTATTATATTATAAGCTCATAGCTGTAACTACACTGTAACTATTGTAACCTTATTATACTATAATTCGCAAATAATCATTGCGAATATTATAGCGTTATAGTGTACCTATCATACTCATCATCAGAACTAGACCATATGCATACATTATAGACCATGTATAATTCCAACCATGCGAGCGTTAGTGTTCGCAGACCAAAAAATGCACCAAGTTAAAATTTAATTTCGAATCCATTTTCATCTCCACATATTAAATCACATTTCCCATGTCAATACCATTCTCTCAATATGCGAAAGGCTCTGCGGATAAAGTGAAGTACCTAATTTCAGTCGATCGTCGAACACGTTCCATAAGTTTGGGTAGCAATTAACCCAATCTCCGTCCTTCGAGGGTTAACGAGTTTCAGTCTCCTTTTGTTGCTCGTTTTCTTTCCAAAATCGATGCCATAGTTCGAGAAGGACGATTTTCGAAGCGCGTTCAAAATTTCGGCGATAATAAATCTGGTTTCGAGCTCCCGACACGACGGTCGATTTATTTAGCCCATGATGGCACTGATATCCGATGGCTGATCCTTCGAGAAGGATAATCCTGTGGGACACGATCGAAGCATTAACAGCGGCTCCTGATGGATCGAACTTTCCACGCGAAACGATGTCTCGCGTAGTTCGAGAATCGATTTCGGTTTGGAACGTCACCCTCCGCTACAAGCCCGGCTCGATTTCAACCCTTGGACATCCGATTCGATACAGAGATTATTGGGCCAGATTCCTTTGGGATATCCTTTCAAACTTCCGAGTGAACGAGCCCGGACGCGTGGACCTGGAAAAGATTGTCGTTCCATCAGCTCATTCGTGCATAACCTAACTTATTTATGTTCGTTGGGTTGTGATTGGTATTCAAAATTTAATGTAAGGGATATTCTTGTATTAACACTAAAGCCAAACCGGTCAAATGACCGCTCCACAAGTTTCTTATTATAAGGTACACATTTTGTCCATTCCTTGAAATCAGCATTGATTTTTATCGAGACAAAGAATATCATTTGTTTATTTATTTTTTAACTTCATTTTTGACACATTATATTCAGGTAGATTTAGCGTTAATATACTCTGGCAATAAAACGTATCGTACAATGCGGGCCAAACAATATTCTACATCAACCAAATCGATTTTACAAAAAAACTTCATAAAACGTTATTAAGATCGGATATTTATTATTAACGCGTTACATTTTCCGTTGCAAAACACGTCGAATTTCCCCGAATTATCGGTTAAATTAATTCGGTAGCTTTTTAGCACGAGAATACTTTAAGCTTTCATGGTGATGATGCGAAAACAGAAATCCCCAAAATATTATTTCCAGCGTTGAAATCGGAGATGTATTACATTTCCAGCGTTTAAATTCGCTGCATCCTCTTGAACGTTTCATTCGCATCTGTACGTAATAACATTCAGAAAAGTCGAAACAGAGTGCATTCGTGTTTATTGGGATAGTAATGAAATAACACGAGTGTAGAAGATGTACCGATGCACATCACCCTTCCACTCTGTTGCTCTCGTTCCTTGTTGCGAACTTCCATTTTGATCCTACACTAAATTATAAACTTCTTGAATACGGTTGCGATATACTAGTCTTCCAAGAGATTCGCTTTATACCGTCTACATGATAATTAACAGCAAATTGTTTCTAGGAAACCATGCAACCGATGATTAATTTTGATAATGTTAACTCGTGTAATTAAATTTTTAATTAGAAATTTTTAGATGTAATGCAGGAATCGAAGTTTGAGTAAGTTCTCAGATGCAGAAAGCGCGCTTGTAACATCTCGGAACCATGGCAGTACAGCAAAGCGTTCGATATTTTATTTCTTCGAAACCATAATAAACTCGAAGTTTTCCTATCAGCCTCTATTTTACGATTATGATGCTTTCTTTCATTATAGCCCATAAGTTCTCAACGGGTTTCTAGTCAGAGTAAACTTTTGATGTACCCAGAAAGTTGGTAACATCAAACCTGCAAGACTGCATTTTTACTACCGTAAATTTTCAACCTTGCTTGAAGTGCACCTCGATAAATTAATGAAGAGAAATAACACGAAAGGAATCAGCAGATAAAAGCAAGCTAAAGAGTAACCTGGTTAATTAAGATTTTTCGGAATATTTCCAGCGGAACATATCAAAGGAATACGTTTAAAATGGTGATTTTCCTTTTGTCTGCAAACACACACGGAATGGAGAGAATCAATTAACGACGTATTGTTAGTCCACGTCGATAGAAAGATTGAATATAAAGTTATTAAAAAAGTTTTATTAAACATTATTGACATTAAAATCAAATATAAAATATAGCAACCTTAATCGAATGAAATAACTAACATTAACAAAGAAGCGTAATTAATTAAAGAGAGTTATTCGCAGAGTCAATCTACTGTTCTTTTACACTATATTTATTTTTCATTTATTGATGCAAATACATTCGCGTATTGGTTTACAAACGTAAAAGGAGTGGTGGGTTAGTTTTTACGTTGTTTTATTATCTTTATCGGAAAATGGTAAACAACGACAGGTAATTTTCACGAATGCGTTTCTTTGGCGGACGACGGCGGCCATCATCCAGCGAAATTATCACCTTAGATTCAGAATGGTGTTATTCAACGACCCGTCGCACGTTTTATGGTTCCACCAACTTCCTGATGTCGCAGGATAAAAAGTCAGAAACAACGGCTGTATTTTTGTCCTCGTTATTGCATTTTTATCTACTCTTCGCTGTATAGTGCACCGCCATTTTTCTTTCCGTATCTCGGTTACTGTCACGTATTTGTAACTAACATAACTTCAGCGCGCAAATTTATTATTCAGAGTTAATAGTTACACTTTTCTTCCAAGACAGTGGCAATTTTATAAAATTTTTTTGCGATACAAAAGTAGAGCAAGTCGAACAACGTCTGCTAAGAATTATGTATTTAAAACAAGAGTAAAAATATTCGTAAAAAAATGCTCTGCGTATTTTTAAATTAACTTAAAAGAAAACTATTTTGAATATTTAAATCAGAACGCTGGTGAAATGAACCTAAGTGCTGATGGGTAGTTTACAATGGTCAAAAGTGCATAAATGTCCCATGAAATATGAAGCTAATAGTCTCATTTTGAATAGAACAAGACGGTAAAATTACTACAGCAGGAAATTCTGTGAAATATAAAGCCCTGGTGTTAGATGAAGCTAGAAATATCTTGCAGCTAGTAATTTTCAAAATTTATAACCTCGATACGTTACCCAATATAACCTAAGAGTTATTTATTACAAGAACATGCAAATACGGTAATTTATGTTTGAAAATTGAAAAGAGTATTTCAATTTGTAAAATTTTGCCATAAATCCGAGTAAAAACATGAAACTGACATGAAGACGAGAGAAATTCATAAAAATATTCAAGAATAACAATGAATGCGATTTGAATGGAAGTCGATCGTTATTTCAGCATTGTCTGGCCTTTGGTCTGACGCTGCTCTCATAATGAAACTGGCAGCGCTTGAGTTAGCAAAAGCATGCTTCTAACATTACGATCGAAGCGTTTGCAATTCGAGAAATCCTTTGGGAATTTGACAACGATAGCGCTTGTCTGTTTCTCCACTGCACTTGCATGCATTAATTCGTGTCCAACGATCTACTGACTCCATGTTTTAGTACCAGGGTCAACGCTAAGCGTCGGGCAAGGTCAAGGATGTGATAATTGCAGATTTCAGGAGTGGATAATTTAGCAATTTGGGATATGATAATTTGGAGATTTAGGAATTTGGGGATTTAGGAACTTGGGGTGTAGGAATTTGGGGGTTTGGCAATTGTGGTGTCTTAAAATTTGGAAATTTACGAATTTGGGGATTTAGGAATTTCAAGGCACAGAACTTTGAGAGTTAGTCAATTTATGGATTTAAAAATTTGAAGGTTTAGTTTATTGGTTCAGGACTTTGTCTGTTCAGGAATTCAGATCATAAAAAAAAAAGAATTGTAAATTCAGCACCACCCAATATTTCAAAACGTCAAATCCACTTTATCTCGCACAAGTTACAGCAGTGCCAGATGATATTCGAATCGATTCGAAAGGAGGAATGTCGACGTTTCACGAATATCTAAGCAAATAAAATGAAAGTAGGAAGCTGGGTCTGAAATATTCAGTATTTTCTACAGCAGCGTCGTAAACTGAATTTTGTAATACTCTCGTTGACATGTTTTCTTGATGCGCCGCTATTAGCCTTCTAACAAGGATTATTGATCATCATGGTTAGTCATAGTTACAGTTCACGTCGAACTTGTCAACGTTGCACCTACATACACTTAATGTGCATAATAGTTGATTGGTTGTCAAAGCTTTCGTGCGTATAGCTTATCGCGTTGTCGACATAGTTTAACTTCGACCATAATTTCATCCTGCACTGTGACAATGGCTTTCCAACAACAATCCCTTTTCAACACGTTGCATAAGCTATTCGTATGTACATTGTCGATCGTTAAACAATCGCTCCTACGAAATTCCGGTGCAGATTCTTGCGTTATTTCAATCGCAATTTTTTGTGATCCTTAGCAAAGTTCATTTTTAAATTAGAACCCCACGTTCTCTAATTTTCAAATCATCGAATATTCTAATCCTTTAATTTCTAAATCTTGAAATCTCCACATTCGATTATTTCCTCGTATCGCGAACACGGTATTAATACTGACTGAGTAATCATGTTGCATTAACAATTATTAAGCATCCGATAAGTCCATAACATAATATTAGCTTTTAATTTTCTGCTCCAAATTATAAAACAGAGGTTGAAGAATTTTCAGAAAATTTTCCATAAATGCAAGAAGCCCGATATCGATCGTTATAAAAGTTTTGTAAATATGGAACGCACGGTGAGTCTGAATTTTTTATTCAATTTCATACCGTTAATTAACGTAACGAGTAAACGAGTTATATCGGAGATTTAACGGAATTGTTTAAAAGCGGAGACGAATTCTCGTTAATTACTATGATAATCATACGTAGATAATTAATTATGTATATTACAGTGCATAATTTTATGCAACATTTTTTACTCGTACAAATTTGAATAATTTATTCTGTGAAGCTTGCGGGTAACATTTTAAGAAATTTTCCTGTTATTATTTATAGAAATATTAGATCGACCCGAATCGATAGTACACTCGCATTTTACGAGAAACTGAGCAAGCAGTAGTCAACGAGTAGACGGTGAAAAAAATCTGACCTGACATTTCATTATAAAGCAGAGATGTATCCAGGGGATACCAATCGTTTACGGATCAATTTGTTTTTAATACTTCATACACTTTTATACGAATCATACTTTATGCATCAAAAAGAAAAAACTTTTCATTACATTCCTTACGAAATGAATCGCTGCGAAAATAAACCTAAATTAATTACCGCTTGTGCATTTTGTCCCCGCGTAATTACAAGCTGGTAAAGTTAAACTACCAAGAACCAATTTTGTCCCCGTCACGTTCGCAGAACGTATTACGTATCTAAAGTGTTCATAATTTTCGTCCTTACGAGAATAACCGGATGGATCGACGTAAAAGTTAACAACAATACGTAATAGCAAAAAGTACAAATAAAAAGAAATTGAATTTCGCCGATGAAAGCGGTGAATTGGCTGGAGAATAACAGAAATCGTAAACATGCAGAGGAAAATTATATGAACGAATACGAAGTTTGCACCCCGAAAGGGTATTCAGGAATGACGTTAATGGATATCGATGGAACAGTTTATTCTACCCTTTCTCTCTCGAGAATAGCCTTTTTATTTTTCAACAAATAACTTCATTATTACCTTCCGGTGCGAGAAGTTGCCTCCTTGCTACTTCGTTACCATTTCATTTATTTGGAGGTTAGGTTAGATACTTAATAGAAGATACTTATAACTTCTTTATGATTTCGAGGCTTAAGTGCTCTTTTATTTATTTGGAGGTTAGGTTGATCACTTAATAGAAGATACTTTAGAGATTGAAGTTACATTAACGATATGAAGTTACATAAAAAGAATAAATGTGGTAGAAATGTAGACAAGTTTTTTATCGATGCGATGGAGAATTGAGACGAAGGCATACTGTGGAAATTAAACGGAAACATGATAAATTAAATAATACAGTGTTACTAGAAAATCGCAAAGGAAAATTTACTTTTGCAGGTATTCTCGTATTACAGTTAAAACACGAGTATCGAATTGCGTTGTTTCAATTGGCTTTTGACACGAATTAAATTTGACCCAAAAGTTCAGATATAAAAATTACAATTATAATGGTAGCTATCCGAAGAATTTCATAATTACGCATGAAATTTTAAAATGGTCAGATATTTTAATAAAAATTATGGAACCACCGGAAACATAACTCCCTTCACATTTCAAATTACTTTTATCAGTGTACATTTTTGTCGAGATAAGGAATGATTTACCACTTCATGTTTCACTAAAATAAATGATCTGTCAGACAGATAAGAACTACAAATGAATTTTTTATATTTTTAGAATATTTGTTCCTTCAGGTTTCTTGTTAATTTTAACAAAGTATAACATTTATTTTCAAGACATCAGAATCTAATACCTTATAATATTTGTCGAATAAGGGTGAAACGATTTCGCTGCACCTTACCTTCTGAAACTTCGACAACCCTTGGCAGTGATCGAGTTCTTACAATCTCCAATTACTCCCCGTGACACAATATATCGGACTTCCGCGAAAGCTCCGCAAAAGTCACGTTAATTTCACGCGCGCTCCGCGACGGATTACTCAGCATCGTATTCCTAAGCAACAGGTTACTTTAACCAGACGTGACCGCAATAAAGATCTCGAAAGAAAGTAAAACAACCCTGATTCAGCCTGTAAAAATTCAGCCTAACAGCATCTAAAAATGATAATCTCACTCTTTCACAGGGTTCGAGCACATCGATCAATTAATCGGATCCGTTGGGAATCGATGATGGATGGGACGTCGATTAATCACAACACTATCGCGGTGTTTCGGGCAACAGGTTACCGGAACCACGAAACACCGGAAGGGGAAAATTGGCACGAGTTGAAGACGGCTTGGTGGTCACGGGGTTACTGCTGAAAATTCACGAGGATCTCCCTCTCGAGCTTCTCTATGCCGAGAAAGGAGCCTGCGCGATACACGCCCGACACCAGCTCAAACGTTTGCAGTTAGGAACACATTTGATTTCGGAGATCCGATCAACGAAACACCTTTTTTTCTGAAACAACTCGGAGGCTGTGTTGATCGATCTCCTCGCCTGCGATCGTTCCGCTTCGTCGAACAACAGCCTGGAATTTTCAGCAAATAATTGATACTCTTTCGGACGCAAAAATCGTTTCGTTGCTGTTTGCTGTTAAGGGATTATTTAACGAGTTTTACGCTGCAGAGCGAATGTGTTTCGTTTGTACAAACTTCTTTATGCGAGGAAACTAGTGACTATTGCCCTTGTCAGGTGCGTCAGAACATAGTTGCAATATTAGATCTGATAAAGGAAGTTAAAACTGAAATGTACACAACGTACAAAACTTCCAAGCTTGAAAACAGAATACATCAACACGAACCGCGATGCATATCGCTGCATAAGAGCCTAACCAATAAAGTACACCATAACCAATTCTCTTCGTAAGAATCCTATATTGAATAAATCGCAAAGGAAAATCTTTCATAATAAAAAGTAACAGTAAATAATTGAGGAAGAAACATAAAGCTTTATGACAGAAAGATACTCGGGTATTCTATAAACGTTTATCACGGTCTACATCAGCTTTCCAATAAAAAGTAAGAAAAGAAGAATGTTCTTTAACGCTGGACAGAGACAAATCACAACTTTCTCACGTTGGCGAGAAAAATAACTTATTTAAACCGTGGCTTAAATGCAAAACGTCGTTTGATTTATGTCTTCTCATTTTTCTTCCTACTCCCCCGTTACGTCTACATCGACCTTTCTCGAGTTCCTTTTTAAAATCACGCCAGATATTTGTATCGAGGCACACAATGGTTTATTCATTTGAATTTCCCTGCAAATTACTTTTACGGTTTCTTTGGCGCTAAGTAAGTCACTTTGTCCGTGCACTGCTCGAGCGTAGAATATTGATGATCCTTCAAGATCGATGTGCTTTACGCGTCTCTGAAGGGCTGTTAATTTAATCAGCGTTTCAGTCGCTTCAAATGCGATTCGTAACTAATAAAGAATTGAAATTACGGTTTTAGTCTTTATTGCTATTGTTCCTTGTTTCATTTCTTGTTCGTTATTTATAAATTTCTAAATTTCTTCATTTTTAAACTCCTACATCTGAAACCTTCTACAAAACCTAAATCCCTAAATCTTCTAATTCTTAAACCCCCAAATCCTCAAACCCCCAAATCCCCAAACCCTCAAAACTCCTAAATTTCTAATCTCTAATTCCTAAATCCCCAAATTCCAAATTTAATATCCCACGAGACCATTGCAACCCCTCCACTTTCCCATCGCTGTCATCCTATCTAATGCAACTTCCGCTCGTCTTGCGCACAAAATAATCGACAAATATTTCAGTCATTTGCCGAAGCAACTACATTACGTATATACGAGACCATTAAAACGCGCTGCTGCGAACATGTATTTTGTATCCCGCTTATATTCACTGAGAACTTTGCTATTACTTCGGTAATTTGTTTCGGAAGATGGAAGACGTACTTATCCTGAAACTTTTACAAAACACTTCTTGCTTCGTTTCGGTGCTAAACGCCTGTAAATTGTTCGTCAATCATGGCGAAAGTTGTGCTTTTTATTGATCTTTTTTGGAGGAGCCGAAGTTCAGTCATCAATCTTTGATGTATCGCTACTTTTATTATTTTTTAACCGATCATGATTAAATAAGTAGTCAACGTGGAATTTATGTAGTTATTTTTACAGAACTTTAACCTTTATATTGACACCTCATGAGGTCCATTTTGATGTACTTTTATGTCACGAAATTATACTACAATTTCACATCTCAAAATGAATAACAATATTCCGACTCCGTTGCCGCAATAAACGAGCCGCCATTTTCTATCGAACAAAGTGTCCTTTTAACTTTGAAAACATTACGAATTCCCTAACAAATAAAACCCGAACCGTTCTAAAAGAAGTATTTTAAAAGTAACGATAGTTGAACGAGCGTCGAATTCTATTTGAAACAAAAAGCTCGTTCAAGTGCGGGCGAACTTTTCGAGCTACACGAGAATTCCGTCGATCCCGGTACTCCGCGGGGGAATAAAAAGCTTCTCCGAATGGTCGCAGCTTTCGTTCGAAACGTTTAGAACCGCGGATGAAGAAACAACACGACGCACCGCGGTTCACGGTGGATCGATCGAACTTCGTTCTATCCGGGAAGACAAACAGCAAAGTTGCGAGAGCTATCCTGTTACCGCAAGTTTGCTTTGTACAACCACCTCCTACAAGTTTCATACACAGAATCAGGGAAATTAGCGCGCACTAACGGAACGCTCCTTTTTGCGCCGCTGGAAATTCATAGCCAAGTTGCAGTGGTACAAGAAATACATGGCCAGACAGGCGTTCAACGTTAAACGGAGAACTGCCTCGAAACGACCAGCGCAGATGCTTTCCAGTTATAATTAGTATCTGGGGCCGATTTTGCTGGTGCAGTTTGACGATATTTTACTTCTCACGAGTTCTTGAAATTTTTTCATTCTTAAAATGCCAAATTCCTCAATCGTGAAATTCTAAAGTGCCCATCTGATAAACAATCTCCTTGACCAGTACCACCCTTAACCGGCACTCTCATTTTGAAATCTAGAACACGAGCATACGCGCGCAACCCACATGCATGATGTACAGAAAAGGGTCTTCCCAAATTACCCGGAGTATCTACGATCGCAGTGGATAAATTATAGACCCTGAACGTGATACAAATCGTTATCCGTAGATCGTGCGAAACGTATCCTGTCAATAGCACACCCTAACCACGGAATCGGAAACAACCCTTAACGATACCGATCCCTCTTTTACCGTCCGTTTATCGGGGCATCTTCGATTCGAACGCACGATCGTTGAAATTTACGTCGGTTCGGTCGAAGGTTTCAGTATTATCGGCAAGTTTCCCTGGAGAGGTCTCGAATTCGGTTACGAGGAGCTGGAACTCGTTAAAAACGAACAGCGAAAAGACGAGTGAGTATTTTTTCTTCGTTTGGCGGTGCGTCGCGAAAGCTGTATGGGGCTCAAAGGAAGAGAAGTGGTTGCAGCCGACACAATACCGTTGCCATTAAATAGCGTTTATGCAACCTTCTCGTTGCTGACGGTGCGCGAGACAGGTATTGTCGGTCGATGAAAGTCTACGAGAGACACGATCTCCTCTGGCAGAAAAATTCAATGGATGACCCGATTTGATCTTCCGCGATGGAAATTGATTGATAGATGAGCGCGATCAGTCGCTTCGATCATTTTTCAATGCAGATTGCTTTTGTTAACGTGTTGATAGGTTTTCGGGTTGGAGTTTACAATTTGGGGGATGGAAACGCTGAACAGGAATTTTTTCGATGTAAAGAAGTTTAGGAGTTTGGAAAGTATTATTTACAAATTTAATCTCTAGTCTAATGACGTCACTCTTCGTAAAGACAAATTATCGTGGAAGTATCTTGTACCTCCGAAAGTAATTACGAATCATGAATAATTAATTCCATTCTGGTGTTAAGGTTCGTTATGTAATGATTCTAACATCCTCAACTAAGTTATGGTTAGCGGTAGAATAATTAACACAGAATGGAAAATTAAACCGGCAAAGTCAAAGGAAAAGAGGATTATAAATTACTCTTGTAAAATAAACAGTAATTGATATTTTACAATTTGAAAATTTATATTTGGTCAGCGTAGCCCGTCGGGGCGAACAGAGGTTAGGTTAAAGAAATTCAAACGTTTTGCGACCAGTTAATCGAAACGGTGAGCATAAAATGTACGTCAGTTAAAACCCTGATCCTGACAAAGGAGCAACGTATAATATCTGCTAGGTAAATTGGATGGCTACGAACAACAATTTGTTTGGAAAACAGACCGAACCTTTCATCGTTGCAGTGAATTTCGTTGCATCGTACATAGAGTCCGTTCAATGTACACCACTATTTACTCTCCGTTAACAAATAATTTTAATTAAAATTTCAACTTTAAATCTCGACATTTTTCTGTTTATTATGGAAATGGCATAATTACTTACGTACAGTTTTCGAAAGTGTGCTTTGTTTTCTACAAATTAACCGAAAATAATGGAGGTTATTATAACCGTTGTATCGATTTACTACAAAATTATGGCGACTTTTCAAAATAATTAATCGCACGATTTATGCAAAATTTCATTCCAAAGCGGTTTATATGCATGTCGAATTTTGCCGCAACATATTGCAGCGGTAAAATGATGACCAAAAGCCATCATTTAGTTCAAGCTGTTTATTTGAAGCCATTAATTGCTGATTTTGCAGGATGACGGTGCAACGTGGTGAATAATATTCGCATTTTATATCAAATCACCCGAAAGTACATTAAATCTGGTAACTATTTGATGTGGCTTATTAGTGATATGTACACGGTGGTTAGTTTATGCATGTCGCGACTTTAGTATTTTCAACTTTCAGAACTTGGAGACCTTACGACTTTGTAAGTTTGAAATTACTAAAATTATTGAATGCTGCAACGTCTGCTTTTCTCTCGCAATACTACTTTCGGGTTTAGATTGTAAAATAATTGATTAGGCTATATATCTCATCTTTAAGAACTGTCAACGAATCTAATCTTGCAATTGAAGCACGCTCATAGGTGGTAAAAATGTGTCCATAGATCTTGTTGACATAGAAATCTGTGCACTATAAATCCTCCAGTTTCCAGACCATTTCTGGAGGACCAAGAGTCATTCAAGCGTTTACGAATGGCCCCATCAGGCCATAGATCTTCCGCAGAATAAAAAACTGTTCTTCCGGCCACTATAATCTTCACCGTCTTGTTAACGCGTTCTTCGCTCTCTCTTTCTTCCATTATTCATTCTCGCCATTTTTGTTTCTTGCTTAACTTGTTCTTACA